ACAAAACAGACCGGCGGATAGTCAGTCCCCTTCGATTTTCTTCCAAAGTTTCTCCTCCTCCGGTGGAAAGAAGCGCGTTCATCGTAGAAGTTGTGCGAGGGGAAAGAAAGTTTGAGCTTGTAAACTTTGAACAGCTCTTTCATTTCCCTCAAAAGTCTTGACAAGGACAGATAGAAAGAACATAAACACCCGAGAGTTGTCTTGAAGCTGTCTGCCCCAGTGAAGACTGCTACAGCCATAACTCTTTTAGGGGACGGTGTGCGGGTTGCGGGAGACGCTTGGGGAGGGCACGGCGCTTTGATGGACTGCACTGTCACCTCCCCGCGGTCGGCGATTTACGGCGGCGGAGCTGCTGACGAGCGCGTGGCAGTAAACAGGCCGGCCCGGGGCGTATTTCACACCGAGCTGCGTTTTATGAAGAACACTCGGGGCCCCACGCGGCTCCGCTCCGAGCCCGCCGCCCGCCGCAGTGTGACGGATGGACAGAGACGCGTGACAAGCTTCATCATTGTTTGTAAATCTTAACTGTTCCCGCTCACTAACTCCAGAAGGCAATTTTGCGGCGACAGCGGCGAAAAGGGGGGAGGAGGGAGGTTGGTGAGGGGAGTAGGAGGAGGGGGGTGGGGGGAGGCAGAGGACGAGCTCCTCTGAAGGTTATGGGGAAGAGCGCTGTTTGGTCAACTGATTAGCCCGAGTGCCAGGGGGAGATAAATCAAGACGCTCCACTGGGGGGAAATGCGGAGACTGCTGAACAAACTGAAAAGACAGCTTTGGCTACGGCTCCATTTAGGGCCTAAGCTACATGTAGGAAAGGAAATGGATTTACTATAGCCATTTACATTTAATTATTGCTTCTTAATCGTGCTAAAGCTGGAGACTTCTTTATTATGCTAAAGTCAAAGATTTTATTATTTTGATTTAGCACTGTTCTGCAACCGGTGATGCAACACTGAAATTTCCCCACTGTGGGATCTCTTAATATTACAGAATGTACTGAGGTACCTTTGCACGTGTGGTTTTACTGCAAATGATAAATAAACTGTATCTGAATCTGTATTTATATTTATACAGCACATTCATTAGGCCTACTGCAACTCAATTTTATGGTCTTATGAGTTTTCTATTTACAAGGAGCATATTGAGAGCATATGCTTTTTAACGGCATGAATTTGAGAGCAGGTCCAGGATACTGTCAAATTTTGTCTATATTTGAGAACCACTGAGATTAAATTTCAGGTTTATGTTTATTGTAGAATATAGATTCTGTTCAAAATATAAAATACTTATACTAATAATTGTTTTTTTTTTTTTTATTGAGTGGAATTCAAGATTTTGTTCTTAACACATACGTTATCGGAGCCAGGGGGATACGATCTACATGGGTTTGTTTGCTTGTGTTAACTCAAACAGGAATGAAACTGCGCTTCTTGGCAGAGGTCTGTGCTCTACAAATCCTTTTCTAGTTTTGTGACTTGTGTGGTTGGTTTTAAATACTTGATTAACTTGGATTGTTAACATTTTTCTGGGAATTTTTAAAACACTACCACACACAAATAACCTGAATATAAAGTCTGACCATATATCCTTCATTATAACTATCATTATCATTGTTATTATTATTATTATTATTACTGTCCCATTGAGATTCAGAATGTATTTTAAAAGAAAGATGCCAGAGTCTAGATGTGTTGTTTCAATTGAAGCTGCATTCTTGTGCCCACTGGGGACTTTTGCAAATCCATTCCAATGTGGTTTCACTGCAAATGGCAAATAAAAGGAACCTGAATCTCTGAATGTTCCTATTTGGTGAACTGTTAGAGTAAAGCCAAGGTTTCAGAAACATGTTTTTAGAGATTAAAACAGGCTTAAAATATGTGGTCTACAGAATAAGAGAAATAATTTGTTTGTAAGTAATAAAATCCACTCTTTAGCGATTTTGAGTCCATTTTGATAAGTCTTCTTCCCTTTGTTGGCATCATGCTACACACTGTCCCTGAGCGCTCAGAGAGACCACACACACGGATATCATGAAATGGAGCGTGTCGTGTGGAGCTGACGCGGGACCCTCACAGGAAGTGGACAGGTGAAACTCAAAAACAAACAGTTTTTCTCACAAGCAGCGTAAAACTTACTGAACAAAGTCTCAAATGCAATACTGTGGTGCTGTCTGCATCAAAACCACAGAAAACAAGGGCTATTCCCCATTTTTGACCAACAATTTAAATTCAACCATATATAAAATCCCTCAGGCCATTTGGCAATCTTACAGTATCCCCCTACTTTAAAAAGGTTGGTGACCCCCAGGACTAATTACTTATTTCCCACCATAATTTGCAAATACATTCTTAAAAAATGTGATTCTCTGGATTTGTTTAATTTTAATTGTATCTCTCATAATAGATAACTAGGATAGACTGTCTCTTTTGTGTTTTGTTCAGCACTTTGAGTTGCTTTGTGTATGAATTGTGCTATACAAATAAACTTGCCTTGCCTGATGAATGATGAAAATTACAGGTCTCTCTAGGACTTTGTGACTAACTAAATAGTGTTTTGCCCGACTGTATGAAGGGTAGAAAATGCTGTCTGCCTGAAACTCCTTATGCTACCACCAGACAGAGGAGCAGAATTTGTATTATTACCAACTCATTCATAGGCAATACTTTAGTTGTAAAAGATATTTCATGTAGACAACGGCTCTGAGCGTGATGTCATAGTGGTACAATGACATCATACTAACAGGATTGAGACAGGACTTTTTAGATGTAATGTTTGCGCCAGAAGTTCCTGATATTAGTGTGGATGGATCTAAAAACAACTGCAGGTCTAAATTAAGTTATTTGGTTCTTCTGTACCAGACAATTTTAAACCACTGTTGTTAACTTATAGAATAAAGATGAATACTAACAATAGAGGAACCAAAAAACTTTATTCTAGACAAGATGGACCTAAAAAACTCCAGCTCTGGTTTTGATCAGGAAACACGTTCAAAAGCATTAAAAAACTCAAAAGTACATCATATTTCTCCCTCTGTAAAACTAGTGCTCAATCATTATCACTACAAGAAGCAGACGGAGCAGATGGAAGATCAGTTTTTCAATGGAGCCAAAATGAACGAATAAAATCAAGTAAAGTAAGTAAAGATCATGGCTGTATGACAGATGTATGTTCTTAATGAACTTTTTATGAGCAGACCCTCCCTCCATGTAGTAAATGGTTGTTTGGATAAAACTTTATGATGCCTAATGCTCCTGTCTGTGTGTGTGTGTGTGTGTCTACGTGTGCCTGTGTGTGTGTGTGTCTGCGTGTGTGTGTCTGTGTGTGTGTGTGTCTACGTGTGCCTGCGTGTGTGTCTGTCTGTGTGTGTGTGTCTGTGTGTCTGTGTGTGTGTGTCTGTGTGTGTGTCTGTGTGTGTGTGTGTGTGTGTGTGTCAAATCAAAATGTATATTAACAATCGCATTTTTAAAAGATGCATAAATTCCAAAGACTATTAAAAAACAAAAGAGTTTTGTTTAAGGAAGTGTAGAGGGTGGTTCTCTTCTAAAATTTGAGAAAAATCCTCCTTTAATGTTTATTTTGAATTGTATTTTTTTTAAGTATATGTAGATTTTTATGTTGTTGATTTATCCCCAATGTGATCTGGGTTGTGATGCGCTTTGTGTTGCCTTCTTAAGGAAACTCGTTCCCTCAATAAAGATTAGTTTTATAAATACCATAAACATAACAATATTATTTCATTAAACACAGTCTTTACTAACAGTCATTAGTTCACTAAACTAACTCATAAGTTGTTTGTACTAATCCATTTTAGTTTTATAAATGCCATGAACATAGCGATACAAGTTCATTCAACAGTTATATACTAGTCTTAATGACCTGAACTCTATCACTCAGATTGTAACAATAATACATATAACTCATTGAGAACTTAGTATTGCGTGGAAGCAAAGTGACTTTTAAATCATACCTGTACACCCTCAAAAGATGACCCAGGCAGTATATGTGTACTTTGGCTTGGCCCTGTCGATTACGGTTGGTAAATATAAATACAAAGATTTATTTGGTCAAATTAGTTTATTCAAAATGTTGCTCAAGTATTTTGCTTTAGGACTTTCTCCATATTCACTCTCAAAATTAATGCTCAAATGTAGAATTTTTCAGAAGTTTGTTTTTCTCTGCAATGCATTCTGGGTAGCGTCACTGCTTCGCCCAATAAAATAGTAACGGAATAGGACAGGAAGTGTTCACCCTCACAGTCTCAGGTTAGAGGATCTAGCACAGCCACATTCTCCAACAAGCCACAAACAACAAACAAATTAGTATTTTTGATTGTTATGGTCAAAGAAGACACATTTTAAAACATTTAATTGTAAAGGGATTTGAGTGTTTAGCCATCCTTTAAGTAATACATTTTCATTTTAATAATTTGATTTATTGTCATTCCGTTTCTAACTAATCAGAATATCTTTTGAATCAGAGGGTTGTCAGAGTATGAATTAAAGAAAGGCCCAAGGAGTACATTGGACAAAAGGCTGGGAACAACTGCATTAGTGTACAAAAATAAATATACTTTTGCTTATGAGCTGTGACCAACAGAATACAAACAGGCTTTCCAGAGCAACTTGCAAAAAATAAGTGCATCTTCTAATCTGGCAACATCAGAACATAACTGTCGGTGATCTGTAGAGTGAGTGATGTCATGACGTAGGCCAAATGTGGAAAATAGACCCCGCCCCTCTGAGTAATTTTACCTGGTTTAGTAATCAGTGCTTAACATTATTATTTCTAACCAGCGTCATGCCAAAGTAGTACAATCAGCTCGTAAAGATTAGTAGCCACAACTATTTTGACAAAAACATATGAGAGTAAGCAATGACTACTAAACAGTTCACAAGATTACAAGATCCGGGTTTACAGTGTACAAATAAAAGTTGATTGATTGATTGATTGACACTACTACCACAGCTAGAAATGACGTCCACAGAACAACGTGACAAACTCACTGGTCATGGTCTCGGTGCAGCTGCTGCCGTTGTTGCCACTGTGCTCCTCCACGGTGAAGATGGAGGGCACGTACCCCGAGGAGCCCAGGCCCTGGGTCAGGTAAGTGGCAGGCGGGTAGTAGGAGTGCACCCGATTGTGGCTGGAGAGACGGCTGTCACCATGAGGCATCTGCTTCACACAACACACAGCGGGCCACAGCGTCAGCACGAGAGGGACAGGAACATCCTGATGTCGTTACACCTGGGGTACCTCAGGGTCGTGTACAAGTTGAAGCTTAAAGCATTATGTAAGATGTTCATGTCAAGTCATCATTAAATGGCCCTAATCTGTCAAAAGGCATTAATAAACCATGCTCTTTTCCAATACCTCTTTAACTGATAACTGTAGTTCAGAGATAGGGTTTCCAACTCACCACGTCGAGCTAATGTCACTGGTAAAGTGACATGCCAGGCCGCAGAACTAAAAAGGTCCTGTTATGATTCACAAATCATTAAGGACAAAACAAGGAGTAAAACCAGGATTTATATCAGGGCTTTTGTGTTGGCAATAGATTTGTGACAAAACTCTTCTATCTAACGATATATCTTCTATATAACACTTTGTCTATTCAGATTTTATGGTCCAAGCTGGATTTGTCTGCATATCTGGCAACCTGAGTCGTACAAGAATACATTTAATTCAATTTGTTGTTTGATCCTATGTCCCGGGTGGAGGATGATTGGATATCTGGGCTTGATATTCAGTTGTCTTGTCTGTATTCTCTTTCACCATTTTCATATCACTGAATGCTGTGTGTCTAATGTAGCTATTGTTCAATAAATAAAGTTGGAAAAAATAAGCTGGGCTACCTAACTTTATTGTCTCATAATTAATACATGTTGTAAGAAGGAGTCTTGTAAGAGTGAAAAAGTAGCAACTAAATCAGTTCGGTATGAAACATTAAAATCATGTGATTGTATGATTTCTTTTCTTGCTTTGTTCAGCACTTTGCCTTGTGTATGAACTGTGATATACAATTAAACTTGCATTGCTTTATTATAAAACATGACATATTTTACATTCTTGTAAAAAAGAGCCATATGACTGACTATTATAGTAACTTTTATTAATAACTTATTCAAATTATTTTTTTAAGAGAAATGTTTGCATGTTTGAATCCATTTTATAATCAGAGACACCTTTGCGTCTATATTTCCATATTGAGATTCCATATTATTCCCATATTCCACAAGTGCCACTCTATAGCAGACAAAAGCACGTTATGTACTGATGTACTGACCAGTTTATTGCAACATTTTGTGAGAACACTCAAACTAAAATACAATTTATCTCTTTATGAAAATGACATCGAATGTTTTGTGTCCTTGATTTTTGTCCAAATGATGCGGTGATGTTGGATAAATTCTCAGCAGAGAGCAGAAAATACAACTAAAAAGTATTTTTTTCGAGTTCGGCCATGAGACAACACGTGTCTTGAAATAACTCAAACTTGAATTATTAGAATATTTATTTCACTGCAATTTTCGATATGTGTTCTTTGGCCTCTAACGTCTTTAGATCTACTTTTTCAGTGAATGAGAATACACGCCCTCACTCAGCCAATCAGCTCTCAGATCAAATGTTTTCTAATAAGATGAAGACTGTACGTTGTGGTCTGATTACTTATGTAACGTTGTATGTGGGTTTTTAAAAAAATATATTTTAGCATTTTTGACTTAGTAGTAACCCAAATTTGGAACTTGTATACATGTACTGTATATCTAAAAATATGAAGACTGTTTATTTACTATAGAGGGTGATTTGAGAAAGTAAATAAAGCAGGTACAGAGGAAGAATGGACTGAACAATCAGAAATGGACTCAAATATTGAACGTCTCAAATATTGACCGTCTATGGGAGACCATTGTTTTACGTACAGACACACACACTACACAGATGTCGTTCAGACGTGAAAAAAGGTCCTCGACGACCAGCGGTATGAACGTGATCTAATAGTGAATGGCAGATGTTGAGTGGGTTGGTGAAGACTCTTTTACAGACTGAGTACATCTGCATCTGATGGTGGTGTAGGGGTTGAACATCAGACCTTTCGCTGCAGTTGCCTGAGTTTGATTCCTGACCAGCACTTTCGCTTATTTTGTTTTTAAGCAAACTTTTTTTCTCTGTTTGGTTAAAAACAAATCAACGCTCAGCGTAGGATCATGTAGTGGCTAAGAATAAAACTTGTTATGCGAACAATCTCAAGTGTCTACCTTGAGGCTGATTTGAGAAAGTAACTAAAGCAGGGCAGGTACAGATTGAACGTCATATCAGCGTCTATGGGAGGTCCAGATGTGCACCCTACACAGACATCGTTTGGACGGGAAAAAAGGGTCCTCGACCGACCGACGTGATTTAGACCTGATCTGGCAGTCAAGTGGACGTCAGATGTTTAGTGGGTTACTACTACTGCTACTACTACTAGTGCTGCTACTACTGCTACTACTACTAGTGCTGCTACTACTGCTACTACTACTCCTATTCCTACTACGGCTACAACTGCTGCTACTACTGCTATTTCTGCTACTTCTACTACTACTATTAGTGTTGAATCTGGCTTCCTCAAAATGGACTCAATACTACTACCAGTTCTACAACAATTACTACTACTATTACTACTGCTACTACTACTACTACTGCCATTTCTACTATTACTTCTACTACTAAGCTGCTATTACTCCTTTGTTGCACCGCTGTGGCTCTGTTTTTCCCATCTTCTGGAAGAAAATAAAAGTGTGTGATTTAAAACAATTGGCAACAAGCAGAGCAAACAGCGAGGCGGCGGAGAGAAGTTTAAAATGAGCTGTCTACTCAGCAGCAAGGCCGTCGCACGCCGGGTTTTCAATTTCACTTTTATGGAATTTGATTTCTGTCAGGCTGTAATATGTCACCCGTATTGTCCACACCATCAATTCTCTGGCAGCTTTATAAACTGTTATTTAAGCTACACTCAGCCTCTGTATTGGGTGTGAAAAATACAGGAGAGATTGGGACGTGATCCGTGTGCTCTCCGTTGGATTACTTTGCACGAGAAACAATAAAGACATTTTTTTTCTCTCTCTCTCTCTTGGTTTTGATAGGATTTGAATGTTTGTATGCGTTTTCGTTAGAGCGGTGTAAGAACCATGTACCAAACAGCTGCGTGTTACTTTCAAAATATTGAAGCAAAAGGAAATAACGCATTTTCAGACCGCACAAATATTAGGAAAAAAAGCAAAACCGAGACGAGGCCTTCTTGGTCTTCCTCTCTCTCCAATCCAACCATCTTCCTGTTGTATGAATATTTTATGTTATGTCTGTAACTTCTTTAGTGTCATTAGTAGTAGTAGTAGTTTATTCGGTCATTTCATTCCTTTAAACATAAAACATAAAACAAGCAACATCATAATTTGTGCACAAACGACTGAAAGGGTTTAGGCTGAAGTAAAAACTTATTGTGCCTAACCCACTTTACAAATTTAAATGTCCTCTTTATATTCCATGTGGTTTATTCTATTCTATATGTTCACTACATATAGGTGACAGTAGCTCAGTTGGTAGAGCATTGGCCTGAAGGTCGTGGGTTCAAGCCCACCATGAGACCTTCTCCACCAACTCCCACTGATGACTGAAAGATCTCAGCTCCTGTGGACTCACCACCTGCAGGAGGCTCAGTGAGGGGCTGGTGCTCTGTGTACTGGGTGACTGACTGCCACCCTCCCAACCCAGAAATGGATGGATGTATGGATGTTCACTATAAGAATGACTGTAAAATGGTTAGAAATGCTTTATTGAAGAAAAAAGTATTCACAATTTACTCTAAACTAGAAAAAGCTTTAGTTGTTGTTTTTGTCACTGCACAAATCCTACAAATCCTTTAAACCAAGGGATGGTATAAAAATATGGTTATTAATTGGTTATCATGATATTAAGTAGTACGTAAATTAGTCATCTTTATTGATATAGCGCCTTTCACAAATAGAGTCACAAAACGCTTTATAATATAGGTCATTTTTCTTCTCACTCCACGCAGTGCTGGAAGCAGTGTGGTCATACAGGAGGAGCATGTCCGACTTTTTCAACAGGTTGTTAGTGGTAGGGGAAACCGGAGCACCTGGAGATCACCTACGCAGACTTGGGGAGAACAAACTCCACAGAGAGAGGCCTGGAGGTGGGACCCTAACCACTGCCCCACCTAATAAATCTGGGATACCTAACTTTCAAACTACAATATATGTATATGCCTCCTGCTGGTGCCCAGAGCCAGGACTAAAGGAGGCAGCATTTAAGATTCATGCAGCTAAAATCTGGAACAGTCTGCCTGAAAATGTGAGACAATATTCTGAAAATGGTCAAATCAGTTCTGTTTAGGAATGAAGCTTCTGTAAATCAGGGGTCTCCAACATTTTTTACACAGAGAGCTACATTTTTAAGACAAAAATGGCAAACCCCTGAGTTAATCCTGTCTGGTGGCATGCCTCGGGTTGCTTTATGGGTATCAATCGAATATTTATTTATTCATGTACAAACTTAAATATTTGTATTTGCTGCAAGGATGGGAAACATGACATTTTTATTATTGGGGAGATTCTTTGTGATTTACTTGTGAGCTACTCAGAAGGAGCTGGCGAGCTACTGGTAGCTCCCGAGCCATAGGTTGGAGACCCCTGCTGTAGATACCCCTAATTCATTTAAGCATTTCATTTTATATTGTAAATTGACTACTTTATCAGCTTTATCTGTCACAGATTGTATACTGTTCATTCTCTACTTTTGAAATAAAAATGATTCTGATGGTTTTCTTATCTACTCATACTGTTGGGATTTGCTATTTCTCTAATCCACCATCACCTTTGCATACACTGGTTCATTGTTGTAATTCAGGACAACATGTTTGAATATTGTATAGCTGTATAAAACAAACAAGCTAATAGACTCATCCTAAGTCAGGCTGTACAAACAGAGCAGAACTTTCTCCAGTTTGGACAGAGCTGATCGTTATCTGAGGTCCACCCGCGTCACACGCCCTGATCCTGCACAAGTCGATGCATCCGCCTGATAGTGCAGCTCCAGTGAAGCAGAGATCACCGATAAGGACCACACTCACATCACCTTCTCACAAACTCAAGACTGTTTGGAAACTGAAATATCATTGACAAAAAATGTGGAGGGTATGGTGTCTTTTGCAGGGCACTTTGGCATTGTTATGATTGTAATGCAAGGCAAGGCAAGTTTATCTGTATAGCACAATTCATACACAAGGCAATTCAAAGTGCTGAACAAAACAAAATAGCATTAAAATCATAAATAATCATTAAAAAGAAAGATAAAAATATAAAATCCCTCAGTTGTATGCACAGCTAAACAGAACTGTTTTTAACCTGGTTTTAAACATTGTCAGAGAGGAGGCCTGTCTCACACTTTCAGGAAGACTGTTCCAGATTTTAGCAGCATGAATCTGAAAAGTAGCCTCCCCATGTTTAGTTCTGACTCTGGGCACTAACAGGAGTCCAGTCCCTGTGCTCCTCAGAGTCCGGGCTGGTTCATATGGGACTAACATGTAATGAATGTTATACTCAAGGTTCAACTTTATTGTCCCCTCAGGATAATTTGGCTTAGGCTCACACTCTCAACAACAGGACAACCAGCTCGTCTTCACAGTTTCAACACAAAAATAAACCATGATAATGCACAATCCCATCAATGCAAGGATATAAAAATATACACTAGTAAAAGACCACAGATAAAAAACAGTGGTACACATTGACTAAAGTGCTAGTGCAGATCCCAAAGCAGATCCCCTTTACATCCATATTCAGATTAGGGATAGAAAGATTATAGGATGGAAAGACAAAAAAAGGCAGTGGGAAAAAAGTGAGAACCCTCAGGGGAGGCCCATATTGAGAGATTCACTCCCACAGAAGGTGCCCTTCTTTTCAACTTCCGGCAAAACATTTCCCTCATAACTAAAGTTTGGGTTGGAAGCGGGCATTCGACTTGTCATGTGACCATAGAAATGTCATTGTTTCTAATCACTTATTGTGAGGTTTTCTTATTTAATGACTTGTACATTTAATTAAAAAAATAAAAAATAAAATAAACTTTACAAACTGAATCGTAGCCTTATCGCAAATATAAACTTATTTTTAAATCGAGTAGTTAGAAAAGTCATCTCTAACCACTCAAACACCCATCAGACGGAGGCCTCGTGAACAAAACACATTTTGTAATTAAAAAAGTAAGGTTGAAGAACGATGAAAAGCAGGAGTGACCGCTGCTGTCACACAAATAACTCCCCGAAGGCCGCGCTCTCTCCCATAAACATAAACATGCCTGCGTCCTCACCACACTGCTACTTCCACCTCAGCCCATTCATTGCACCGGGATACGCGCGCTGTGTTCAAAAAGCGCTATCCGGGTCTAAATAACCGTAGCACGTAGCTCTCGAGGCTGACAACTTATTTAAAAATATCATAAATCACTGGAGCGGATGGCAAAATTATGCTAAAGACGTCTGACTGATTAGCATTACCGCGCTCGCTTTCCCCCTTTTGCGCGCCGGAGCGAAGCCGCGCGCTGAGACAATACCATTAACCTTTGCAATTCAAGCTACGGCTGTTGTGCGGCCCGGATTAGCGGAGGCAGTGACCCCGAGACAAGATGTTGCTATTGGGGGCCCGAGGTGGGAGTGTGCGGCGAGAGAAAATAATAAAAAATAATCCGGCACCTCATCACAGACAAACGCCGCGGTGTTACGGATGCAATGTGTGCGCGCGTCTCGTTTGCCACAATTGAGTTACATTGAGGACATGAATCAGCCGCGGTGACGGACTGATGAAGAAATAGCCTCGTAAAAAATACAGTTGGTCTGATTAGGGGTGAACACAAGACTGTAGCCAGGATTCTTTATAATACGAAGGTCCACTTTATACTAGTCATAAAAGAAAATACTAATCATATTTTCATATATGGGGCAACAGTGGCTCCGTTGGTGGAGCGTTGGTCTTTGGCCCTGAAGGGTGTGGGTTTGATCCCCACAGGAGGCGCAACAGCAGTGGGCTCTAGAGGATTTCAAGATCATTGTGTATTGTAGATTGGGCTGATTAGGGCTGAGCATAGGGCTGCATGCAGGATTAATTATAACATGAAGTATAAGGTATCCTTACGTAGAGAGAATACTATCATGGTAACTTTAAGGCTTTACTTTTAATACTTCATTATGGTCATTGAGTTAGAGACTTCCTGATAGAAACACTACATTTGTCTCGAAGAATCAGGTAAGCCTTCATTTGTTGTCAGGGAGTCTAGATGTCCTCTTGGGGTGTTTTGAATAACACATGTAATGTCTTCAGTCTCTCTTAGAGCAGTGAAATTATATGGACTAAGGCCCAGTGGTTATAAAATTGGGGGGAGGGACCCCCGGGAGATGCAATACTATAGAAGTGGGCTCTAGAGGATTTCTAGATGCCCTTCTAAAGACTTCTCTGTATTTCACCAATTCGTTATTCTTGCACCAGAGTGAATTACAGATGTATCTGCAGATGTATACATACAGGTATATATTTCCTTGCAGTAGACTTATAAAGATTTATACCGTATACAGTATATACTTTCTTTACTATATATTTTATTGTTTAAGTTTTGAGTTGTACCTAATGTTCACATCTCGTCAACTGTGCTGTAACTTGTGATCAGTACTGACTATCACACTGTGGGACGAATAAAGGTTCTCTTCATCTCTTGACACAATAACACAATGCATCTTCCCATAATTTGTTTTTTAAATTGAACTCATCAAAGGCAGTCACAAGTTGATATCTCACACTCCTAAAGTGCACATTTACATTTTCACATCATCATAAACAGCAACAAGCAAATTGAAAATGCGGGAAAGAATGTTTAAAAAAGTGTGATGCAGACAAAAAACTTCTCACTTCTGCGTTAGACCCTGACTGCACAGAGTTGGAACTGGTAAAAAAACAAACAAAGCTGTGGTAGCTCAGGAGTTTGTTAGCGTGGTAGTCACCTGGTATTGCTGGTAGTTGTAGAAGTTTCCGTAGTAGGGAGCGTAGCGTGTGGGCTGGTACAGGGGATAGTAGGAGGTCTCCAGCAGCAGGTCGGACGTCCCGTCAGACTGAGGCCTGGCACTGGGAGAGGGGCCGGGGGAGGAGGCCATGGAGCGGCTCCCTGGACACAAACACCACCAGTTAAAGCAGGGGTACCTGGTTTTCCAACTATGAAAAGTGCTATCATGGATGGTATGAAATGCAGACGTCACACACTGTGTTTAGCAATTCCCAGTGAATGCGGATTAGCGCTTTGAATCTGCAAACAAAATCTCTCACAACAACCTCCTAGCAACCAACGAACCAATCAGGAATGAGGCTGGTCCATTCAGACTTTTACTCAAAGTAAAAAACACAAGATTTGTTGTTTATCCATGAATTTAAACACATAGATATATTAACATGAAAAGAAAAATGTCAGAACAACAGCTTTTTCTATGGAATGAAAAGGGATGTAGTGATAGCGTTGCTTGTATGAGATTTTGTTTTTAAAAAAATATTGTAAGTTTTGTGAACTTTTATTTGAATATTTTATTAACTTTAGATTGAGTGCTTGCAAGTGTGTCCCTAAAAGGGTCTAAGAAATACAAATACAGGACAGGTACATGTATAGAAGGCCAAACAGAATGCTGCAGCTCAAATAGGAAGCTGCCAAAAACAAATACCAAAATATCATTAATTCAAGCCAATTCAAAGTGAGGTTTATACAACCAGCTTTCACACACTGATATTCTGTTTGCCAAGCTTATGATGTTCTAATTGCGACAGTTCAAACTTTGATTTGGATGAGCTGTCAACACACACCTTGCAGCAACAGTAGAACAGATCTTAAAAGTAGATTTGGATGAATTCTCTGCGTAGCCTTACGTATGTGTTCAGGATCATGTCAACAGCACCACCTGCTGGTCACATGTGCACTATAGTCTCCCATACGGGCCATTCCTTACAATACTCACAACAATTACAATATGAACTCATTGATCTAAAGATAGAATGATGCAACAATAACTTCTGGGGTTAAACATTTTATAGATTTACTTTTTTCATTGTGTGATGATATTAAATATAGAGGCTTAAATAAGTCACTCCTATGGATGGAAACTAGGTTCAAACTAAATGTTAATATAAGATTCATTTATTGGGACTCTCCACCTGCATGTGAAAGTCAGATCCCATCAGCCCCTGAAGCTAACACAGAGGAGCTATTGGTCCATAAAGAGCGAGATGACCAATGTCCATAAATAATAATAAATGTCCTGGGTCATCTCTATCCTCCTGCATCGACAGAAAACAACTAAAATCAAATAAATAAACAAACCCAGTGTGAAAAATGTCCAAATGTTTTTCCCAGGTCATTATTTGAAAGTGATTACATTATTTTCAGGTCTGAAAGTCTCACCTACTGGCCGACATCATGTAAAATAAATACTGTCACCACTTCTAGACAACTTTATGAGAAAATAGTTATTCCACAGTTGACATGTGCTGACAAAGAAGAGGTGGAACTTTGTGACTTTTGTATTTTTGCTCAATGAGGATTGGTCCAAGGATTATTTGACTATTTTTCTATGTATTTTATTTTATGTTTTGTGTATTTTAATGTGTATTTAATGTACAGTACATTGCACCAGAAATAGCAAGAATTTTTCATCCGCTCTAATCTAAATCTAGATGATTGATTTATGTCTGTTACCATAGTTACCAGGAAAGACTTTTAGCTCCCCTCCACCAGAATATTAAACCACATGCTCCTTTCAATGTTGTGATGTCTCCTTTATAACGTCATATAAGATAGAATTTAAGCAGTCCTTTGACCCAGCCAGATTTACATTGAGGCTGAGAGTCGAATATATCCATACATTTTCTTCTGCTTTATCTGTCACCAAGTTGCGGAGGCAGCAGTCTGAGCAGAGACGCCCAGACTTATTAAAACTTATTAAATCCTAATTTGTCAGAGGCCTTTCAGCATCTTAAGCCGACAGTGGCATCTTCCTCATCATGTGTTTTCTTATCACACATGGTTTTTCTTATCAACAAGGCCACATAGCTGCTGGGCAGAGGCTGAACTTTCGGCCCGGCACACAGGGAGACACTGTGCCGTGCTCCACGCTCACATAATGGCATTTCTTCTTTCTTGTCGCTTGAACTTCTGCCATCAAATCACAACTAATCTGCTTTTCTCCTCTTTGCCAAACCAGCGACCAAGGCCACGCCGCTGTTCACAGAGGAAACGTCACCCGGCTTTAGGGAGTAGAGGACACGCTGTTATTACAAGAAAGTCTGGCAAAAAAAGTTTTTCCACTTGTCTGCTATCTCCTGCGATATGTTCCTGTAATTGAGGCAACAACTAGGATTTAGCTTTTTTCTCATGATACGAACATATAAAGAATGAATCATAGCAGTATAAAAATATAAAATTGATGAGTAAATATGAGTGGGTACAGATAACATTAGATACTGCTATATCGGAAAAAATTTATATTGGTGGCTAATAATGTAACGATATTTGTGCTAAGATATGGCTGTATAATATAAATATTGCACAAATTGTGTAAACTAACAGCTGACGAGCAGAAAGCTAACTTTATAAGGTATTTAAATAACATGTCTTCTGTCTGTGTGCCCCAGGGCGGCTGTGGCTACAGTAGCAATGGATACAAATCCTAGACATTGAACATTGAACGTTCTGATATTAAACATTTCATTCTGTGGGGAATACAACTTTTGCCATCTTTAAATTTTACTGTGATATCAAAAGATGCCACCATATATTAAATGCGTCAAGCTGGATTTCTAAGGGTCGTTCAGTTCACACCACCAACAACAAAAACCATTTACAAAATAAAATAAGATAAGATAAACTTTATTGATCTCACAATGGAGAAATGTATGTTCAAATCAGATGCTAGAATAATGAAAAAGTGACGCCCTTACAGCAGCAGAGGCGAGGTTTTGGGATCACTCATCAGGCCATTTGATGTATTCTTTAATTTCTTTTATTTCATTGATAATACACTAGAAGTAACATATGGTGAACCTAGAAGACTGCATCAGGGTCCGTGTACTTTTGCGTTAGATACATTTTCTATTTTTGAAGGGAAATGGAAAATCAAAAAAAGGCTATTTTGCATTTTCAGGCACATGGCAATATACAAAAATTACCATTTTGGTCGTTTTCCTTTCTTATAAGACATGTATATTATAATAACCGGATTTGGGAACTGGAAAATAGTACACAGACCCATCAGGTAAGAAATCTTGTTAGAAAACCTTTTGCATACTAATAGCCCTGTCAGTCACTATTTGACACTTTTTTTTTTTTTTAAGCCACTGTGTTGACTTTTCTGTATGAAACAACTGTGATGTGACAGAGGTAACAAAAGTTAAAGTTAGGTACCCCAGCTTTAATCTGCAGCTTTAATCTGCTGCTAATTAGTTTGTACCTGTTGCTATTTCTGGTCTGAACAATACATTAATAGTGCAAAATCAGAAACATATTTAACAATGTTTTACTGAGTAGTTTTCAATATGTTTATTATTATTAGTTTTTATCTCAGAACTCTGTAGTGAGTGCTGGTCACCTGTCACAGCCGCGGACACAGAGACACTGGGAGAAGGCGACCGATCCTCCACAGCGAACAGACAGTCTGCGGCGTTCTCGTTTTTCACCATCACATCAGGACCGGGCAGCGTCACCGGACTGCAGATCCCCAGCTCCTCCTCCTGCGCCTGCTGCCTCCTTAGAGCCACCTAAACATGTCAAACAAAAGTTATTACATTATTCAGGATTAGTAAAAATTCACCAGATGGACCACGTTAAAGCAGGAGTAATTCATTATTGTTTTGATTCATGAAAAACCTTTTTACGTCTCAATTCGATAAAGATATTTTTGTATTGCCCTAAATCACAACAGTAGTCATCTCAAAGGACTTTCCAAAGTTATCAATTTGCCAACACAGATCAGAGAATCAAGCAGTTCAAACAACGGAAATGGAATAAGAGCCATTGGTCCATAAGGGGTAGAGACCTATGTCCATAAATATCGCTGAATGTCGAGTGACGTGGATCATCACCAGTGTCCTTAGACGCACCTGCTTTGACAGGGGAAAAACCCTATTGCCTCAACAGAACGAGCCAAGTTTATTAATCACAATCTTTATCCTATTAGAAAACATTACTTAATGCGAAAACAAATGATAAAACAGTTTTGAGAACAAGGAACTGGATAGATGGATTATATTACGTAATTATATAATCAATTGTCAATCATTCTGGTGAACAAGATAAGACGAGTGGAGAGGGCAGTTCTTCCCTAAAGTCCTCCAATACCTTTAAGTTAGGTGCGCTATGATCAGCAACGCAGCAGGGGTGACATGTAGTGCAATTTATTTAAATATAAATATCTATAAAATATCAATATAAATTGCAGTATTGCACATTGCCCCTTCTGCATGGTTAAACCGGTATTTCTGCTTGAATAAACTTAAAAAAACGAATAACAACAAATAACACCATGCAATTGTAATAATAGCATTACTAACTATATAGTGTAGCAAAGTAGCATTTTTCTACTTTTAAAATTCAAGATTCTCTGATAGACTTTGATTAGACATAGGTTAAACGCATTACAGCTTAATACAACCGTGTGTTTATAAACTTGCTCATTCAATGCATAATAGTAATAACAGTTTAGATAATATTGTTGCGAGTTAGCATCGTGTTTATACAAAGACTGCTACAATACTATTAGCCGTGTAGCTAAGAGCAAGAGGCAACAACCAAACTGACTACATTCATATTCATTAATTGCATTTTAATTAAGTGCTTGATAACAATATGATTAGCATTGCGACTTTGTTTTTGGACACGTAAAAAAATAAATGAATAATACTTAAAAATGTTGGGTCTACTTTTTGTCAGTCACGCGCGCAAACACGTGGACCACTACGGACCCACTGCGCAATGGGTTATGGGTTTTTTACATTCAAGATACATGTACTGAGAATACATAGTGATTTTCTAGTTTGTAAAGCAGTCTGGATTTGCCTGTGGAGGAATCGTATATATAACCTCGCCTGGCTCTGACATTACCTGCGCAGCCATGACGCGTTGGCGCTCCGCAATCAGCTTGCATTTGGCGCATTGACAGTCTCTCCAATTACAGAATCGTTTGTGTCCCTTCAGAGGCGATACGAATCCATGGTTTCTACACCGACTGCATTTAGGCATCCTCGCCGGCTTTAGGGCCTTGGAGGCGGGGAGGGGCCCTGCGCAGTCCGGCACCTGTCTGGTCTGCCTGTCTTTGCTCATGACTCTGGCTGCTTCTGTGTGCAAGTGGAAGTTTGTTACAAGTGGTATAAATCTGCCTTCTTCTCCTCCTACTTACTGCTGCTGCTGTTGTCCGGGCTGAAGGGTCACACACACACACCCCTGTCCCTGGTTGCCAGTGTGTGTGTGAGAGAAGACAGGTTCCTAAATAGGTAATATACATGTGACTTTTTGGTCCGATGCATGTCATAGGCCATTAAACACATTAAAACATAGTATTAGTCTAGTGCAAGAATATGAAGTGATAATTAGCTCTGACTTATCACTAAAGACACAAAAGGCCAGAGATGGAATACTTATAAATACTTAAAGGACAACTCACCCTCAAATCCACTTTTTTTTTTGCAGATGAACGGTATAAATGAGTGCCCAATAGTGTTCTGTACATATCCTGGTCATAATCTTGTCACTTTTGTGCAAATTAGTTGAAAGATCAACTAAATAATGCCCTTTGGTTGTCAACAGAACTAAGTCTTGTAAAAGGAGAATGAACAAACCAGACCTCATGCTGTCTTTATCTTACTGAAAACATTCTGTCGATTGTTTTGTATATTTGTAAAGAGCCCTATGTGCTACTATTTTCCGCTTTGGGGTGAGAGCTGATTGACAGTGACGGTGGCCAACAATAAATGCGTGTAACAGTCTATGGTGTGAGAACATTTACAGTCTATTTACATTTACAGTAAACATAGGAACTAGTTAGAACAATGCATAGTTCTAACTTTTGTGATTCAAAAGTTAGGTGCCCCCGCTTTAAACATGCCTGATATCAACTCCTTTGCGTGAGAAATTCCAAGTGTAAAACACAAGATTCCTCATCACATGTACAAAAACTGAAGTCGAAAGCTGACTTAAAAAACAGATATGGCAACTTTGGCCTGGACTGTCTGTACAACAAGTATCTCATAGTATGATACGGGAAATTCACCTAATTATATGAAAAGTAATGGTGTTAAAAATAAATTAGGACTTGTTACTTGTGCGTTGTAGACCATAGATAATGGTTAGGTGATTTCCTTCATTTGTTGTATTTTATTTTCTCCTTTTACCAATGACATTTCCTTTTTAATCCAGTCTATGTTTTAATACGACGGATGCGGAGACACTGCTTTTTCCGCGATGCCCATGAAAGCAGCATTTCCTAGCAACCGCAAGTTTGTTTCGCGGCCTGTTGAAACTTTGAGATTTCTTTATGCGTGAGACGTGAAAAGTGGAAATATGCCGAAAAAGACGAAGGGAAATGGCGAAAAACAAGAGCAGAGTAAAAAGAGAGGCCCAGATTCTGCTGCTAAAGTTACGTTCGACGAAAAAGAGAAGATAGTTTACTTGGCGCAGATACAAGTCCTGAGTGAGAAGGTGGAAAGGTGAGTGGTCTTTGAACCCGGCCTTCTACAAGTTCCATATATACAGTCTATGGTTCCAGTCTGTGAGGAAAGATGGGAAATATAATATGAATCATTTGTTGTCTAGCATTTTTATTCTTTTATGTGTTGACATTCTGTGGTGTACAGTATGTATCACGAATATCAGCACTCAAAACATACATTGTTTTAAAATATATATAATTATAAAACTCAAAACTGGCCTTCTTGGAGCGTGCGGGTTAGCATTGTCCATCTATATGTCAATCTATAATCACATGTGTCACTATCTAGTCTCTGTCTCCCAAACCCCCATGCTGCTAACATGAACAGATGTAAACATAAGACTGTATATTTCATGCAATAGATAAAAGTATTCTATTCTATTCTAGCTTTGTTATTACGCTAAAGTATAGAGTCATTGTTCACTTATCTTGTGCTTTGTGCTCCTCATTCCTACTGTTCTGTAGCTGGTGATGCAACACTGAAATTTCCCCATTGAAGGACGAATAAAGGATATCTTAATCTATGTTCACTGCGGGCCCCTTTCCAGGCCTTTCTGTGTAGAGTATGCATGTTCTCCCCATGTTTGCGTAGGTTTCTTCTGGATGCTCCGGTTTCCACTACCACTAAAAATACGTACAATAGTTCTGGAATGCGTCTCCTGTGCTGCGACCCCGCTCCCATCTCTGTGTGGAGTGAAAAGACAAATGCCCACAACAAATGTAAAGCGCTTTGTGACTCTGGTCTGTGAAAGGGGCTGTAGAAATAAAATATTACTTACTTATTTACTATATACAGTCTTTTTTATTGTGAGCAACAAGACAGTTACAATAACAGTAATATTAAACACAGACATCAGTGACAATCAAAAGACAAACAGTTTTAAGATTAATTAGTAGGTTTGTTGTGTGGTGGTGGCATGTGTGACGTAAGAACAGAATCATAATCATCATCATATTAATAATAGTACTGGTGATAGTAATGTCAATGTTAGTAACAACTACTCAAATATGAATAACAATAATACTGCTACTACTACTACTACTAATAATAATAATAATAAAAAAGAAAAACAAACAAACAAATAAGGGAAGGTTTGTCATTTTCGTAATTTTCATCATCCCGACACCAGACAAACATTATCATTAACCATAATAAAATATACAGTCTATAGCAGAGATCTCTGACCTGTAGCTCGCCACCCCCTCTCAGGTCGCTCCCCAAAAGGATTTAGAAATTAGCAAATTTGCTCCCGGGCAAAAAGGTCAGAGACTCCTGTTCTATGGGTCTACTTTAAAAAACATAAACATGATTATGATTCTATTTCAGATTTTACTCACAAAAACAACTATAAATATCCACCCAGGGTTTTGTCCCACCAAGGACAGTGAATTAAGTGGATATTATTATTATTATATTATTATTCTTAATCCCCCAACACAAGTACAGTTTTTTGTGTAATATATAATTTGATGTATTTTTGTATTTCTTGGTCTTTGTGGTTTTACATATTGTCCCCTAAAGTGAGAACAGCCTTGCATCATCTCAGTGCAGATAAATGACGGGCTTCATGCCAAATACGGAGCATGTGGGAATAAAAGAAGACAGATATCATTTGAAAAAGGACAACTCTCTTATCGCAAACTTCTGAATGTCCAAGGTCAACACACTCCCTGTTGTCAACACAAGGAACACAGTGTTATTCCCATAAAAAAAAACAACATTACTTCGCTCCCAAACACAGTGTATTTTTAATATAGATTATAGATACGCCTCACTGCTACTGTGTTAGCAAATACCAGGTTTAAACGTTATATATGTCCTTTCTAGAGTGGACCAATCACTGTTTAAATCGTGTTATTTTTCTCTCCGGATATTGGGAAAACAACATTTCTGTCCAAAATGTTTTCTACAAACAAGCCAATATTGTTAGTTGGAATGGACTTACCTTATATTGCATTTAAACTGTCTATATTCAGGGGTAGAGGCAGAAGTGAAGTATTCGTAGATTCAGTGCAGATGGCAGAATTACACAAAATATGAAAAATAAAATAATAATTCCCAACAATTTATTCATTTACTAGTTACTACTGACAGAATATTTTGGTAAAGGCCAAGAAAATAATTTTACTGATAGATACATAATGTTTTCCTCAGGCAAATTACACTGGTCACTTCTGATTATTATACTGTGTGTGTGAGTTAAGATACTATACAAATGTGGGTAAATGTAACAGCATTATCAAAACATGAAATTAAATAAAAACCAAATTATGAATCATGTTTCATCTCAGTCTACTTGAATTTTCTTTAGTCACTGCCTGTGCTTTTTTTTCACTTCAGCCCTGTTTCCACCGGTTGACTCTATACTCTACTCTATACTCGACTCTACACTCGACTCTACACTCGACTCTACACTCGACTCTATACTCGACTCTACACTCGACTCTATACTCGACTCTACACTCGACTCTATACTCGACTCTACACTCGACTCTATACTCGACTCTATACTCGACTCTATACTCGACTCTACACTCGACTCTATACTCGACTCTACACTCGACTCTATACTCGACTCTATACTCGACTCTACACTCGACTCTATACTCGACTCTACACTCGACTCTATACTCGACTCTACACTCGACTCTATACTCGACTCTATACTCGACTCTACACTCGACTCTACACTCGACTCTACACTCGACTCTATACTCGACTCTATACTCGACTCTACACTCGACTCTATACTCGACTCTACACTCGACTCTATACTCGACTCTATACTCGACTCTACACTCGACTCTACACTCGACTCTACACTCGACTCGGCTCAGCTCTGCTCTGCTAGGTTGTATTTCCACCACTCTTTACCATCTGGTACCGTATCCTAGCAACCTACTTACAACAAATCAGGTTCCATGGAAATCCTTTGGTAACTTTGCCCTCCAGCAGCCCTCCTACCAATTATACAGTTATAACACTTTATTGCCAATTCGACCTGGATACAACCAGGGCCAAGCAATTTCCTAAAAAGTACCTGGTACCGGATAAGGGCAGGTAGAAACGCTCCCAATCGGGGTAGAGCAGAGTTGGGCCAAGTAGAGCTGGTGGAAACAGGGCTTTTGTCATGACAGGGTATAGAGAGTAATGGGAAGACAAAATGAGAATTGTATACATTTTGTCGTAAGGCTGCAGCTCTGCAAACTATAGAAAAGGGGCGACAGTCGCTCAGTTGGTAGAGCATTGGCCCTTGAGGTGAAGGTTTTGGGTTCTGGGTTCGAGCCCACCTCAAGACTTACTCCATCGACTCCCACTGTCTGCTGTTGTTGTGTAACTTGGCAAGACACTTAACCTCTGGGAACACCTGATGCCACAGTGGGGCGGCTGCAGCTGTATAGTGCCAAACTGCCGTTGTGTCCTTAGGCAAAACACTTCACCCCCATTGCCTAGAATGAGTCTGGTGTGTGTGAATGGTTGGTGGTGGTCGGAGGGGGCGATGGCACATACTGGTTGCCTCGCTTCTGTCGGTGTGCCCCAGGGCAGCTGTGGCTACAGAATGAAGAATGACTTGTAAAGCATCTTTGAGTGTCCAAAAAAGTGCTACACAAAACCGGTGCATTATTATTATTATTAAAAGTAAAGGGGGTTGAATACTTTGTGTACTTTTCTCTTGCAGATTTGAGAAGCGATGCTGCGACCTGGAGGCGCAGAAGAAGCAGCTGACCCAGAAGCTCGGCGCGGCGGAGCAGGAGAAGGCCGACATGGTGGACTTCCTGACGAGGTCTCTGCTGGAGAAGGAGGAGGAGGCGGAGAGGCTGAGCGAGGAGCTGCAGAGGGTTCAGCAGGAGGCTCTGAGAGACGGAGACGACCGGCAGCAGCAGCACAGAGAACACGCAGAGCAGATACAACACAGAGCAGACGCCGCGGAGGAGCAGAACAAAGCACTCGGTGAGGCCAGGTTCTATTCTCTAAAGTAAACCCAATTCCACTGGGTTTTCAAGTTACTCCATCTCTGCAGTATCAAAACACAAATATTAGATTATGTGTACATTTGAACACTGTACCCTATGATTTAACACAATTTCTTTTCTAGTAATGATGCTGAAATACGTGCATTTATCTACATTTACATCAACCAGCATACATCTTCATTTTATCCCAATTTAGTCCCGGGCTGATTTTGAAACTCTTTTTCTTGTTTTAAGAAGGATTGTTTTATAGCACAGTGCTTCACAAAACAAAAGCGTAAATAATCACTGTACATTAAAAAAATTCAGTGAAAAACAGAACTATTTTTAACCTGGATTTTGACATTGTCAGAGAAGCAGCCTGTATCACATTTTCAGGAAGACCAGATTTAGCAGGAATCTGAAATGCTGTCTCCTCATGTTTAGTCCTGACTCTGTGCTCCTCAAGAGTCCCAGCAGGAGGCCAGGCCAAAGGAAGCCACAGGAAGCCAGTCCTGTGATATAAATATACTTAACACTGTTTTGTGCGTCTTCTCATGTTTGATGTGTGTGTTGCAGTGGAGAAGTTGAGCCGCGTGGAGCAGTTCTTGAATGAAAGAGAGACGCTGATGTCCGACTTGAGCGCTCTGAGGAACCGGCTCTCTCGTCAGGAAGAGGAGCATCGAGTGGCCCTTCACGACCGAGACATGCAGGCCCTGGTGGACAAGAGCACGTACGTCCAGGTCACACACACTTCACACTGAAGAGAACATGACAGAGCACGCATCCAGAACCTACATCCACACATGCACTTCTGGGCTGCATCCCAATTCATAATACCTCCTGCCTTATCCTTCATTTGCCTTTTTGTTCACTTTTTGACCATTGGTTGCTCCAGGTTTGTTCAAGTGTCTGTTTTGAACTCTAAATGTTGAATATTACTGTTTCTCCATTATATATTTTCGAAAAAATCCCCAAAATCTGACCTATAGATGTGACTGAGGTCAAAAATGTATGCATGTAAGTACGAGTTGGGCAAAGAACTGCTTACATGGATTATTTTTATATTTTCTTGCATTTTTGTTGTTTAAGTACCCTTGCTTTAAGTATTGATTTTGCACTTAAAATTCAGGAAACACAGATGCATAAACTGTACTTTATCGTTTCTTTATAATCTCCATTTGATTTTACTGGTTTTATTGTATATGGACTGGTAAAATTAAATTATCAAGAAAGTTTCAACTAAGGCCGCACATCCCTGTAGTTTGAGCTCGCGTGCTGGATTAAAAAAATGTAACTCGTAAAAACAGTGAAAAAAATCCGCACAGCTATGTAGCTCCCAATAAGTGTATTTTATTTACACACCAAAAACCGTTACGTTTCGGGCTGAGGCCCTTCGTCACGTGACTGGTCCTAAATACACAGAAGATACACAATACATCAACAAATATGCAAAGTATGTGCACACGTAGGTATACACCCATACACAAACACATTTACAAAAATATGCATGTATATAAATACACATACACATGCATACATACACCATAAGTGGATAAAAAGGAGGCAGCCCGTGATAAAGTACAAAATATGTGTGTCTCGAGTGTTTCACTGAAGTGGTGTGTGGTGAAAGCTACATGGATGGAACATGTAAGATAGTCTCAAAGTCTCAAACAGTCTCAAAAGAATATAGAGCACGCCCAGGACATTGACAGCAGCACAGCTGGTATAGTTGATGCATTGTTTTTGTAATATCTCTGGAGTGCTGATAGCTTTTAAAAATTAAATTATCAGCCAGCCCTTTTGAAACTGTTTAGGATTAAATCTGAGTTTACGGCTATTTACTAAAAAAGCTATATTTTTTGTTTTGTTTAAAGATGGGAGAAGAAACTGAAGAGCCACACAGTCAGGATGGAGGCAGAGGTGGAGCGTTTAGTGTCCCAGAGGCTCCCAGAGGCCACCAGCCGGACCCTGCAGCAGAACCAGGAGCTGAGGGGCCGCTTCAGCCAGCTCTCCCAGCACACGCAGGGGCTGGTGGAGGCCAACGCGGTCCTGAACCAGACCAAGACCCGGCTCCAGTTGGATGTGGAAAACCTAGAGGAGATGTTAAGAGAGGTGTCCCGCAAAAACTGCCTCCAGAAAAGAGTAAGAAGCAACTCTTTTGTCTCTATAAAGTCACAGGGACCAGAGTAAATGTACGTTTTTATAGATCTGAATCACAACACAGAGACCACTTTACAAAGTTGTGGATCCAGTGACAACAAATCAGAGAATAAAACAGTTTCAATATAGGAAAATGCAATAATATCAAAAATATGTAGGTGCCTTTTGTTCACAGGGATCGGGAATGCCCATACATTTGATTAAACTCCTGTGTCATTAAGGAACTTAGTGAAAATACCTGAACTAAAATCTTGATGTGCATAATCGCCGGAGCTCAGAAAGTTGACATTTTGGACTTACTTCTGATCTCTACTTTAGGCTTGTGTTTGTATGATATTTCAAACATTTTATCAGTCATCACTAACAGACGTGTGGATTGTATATAATTCTGCTGATTCAGAGGCAGAGCTGAAATGAGGTACAACACGTCGGAGTGGAGGCTTTAACTTCCTGCTGGTCTAACAAATGAATGTTCCATCTTGCTTTTGTGGTCACTTGTCTCCTGTCATTTTCCTGCAGACGGTGGAGCAGCTGAATGTGAAGTGTTCCGAGCTGCAGACAGAGCTTCAGGGCTGTAGGGGGCGCCACGACCAGCTGCACAGTCTGCATTCACACAGCATGGAGCAGATGGAGACGCTCCGGTCAGTCACATCAAGTATACCTGGTGTTCCCTGAGGTCTCCCATCACTGAACTTTCCATGCCCTGCCTTGCTTATAAAAACGTTGCAAATATTTTTCACACTTGTTGTTTTCAAATTTGGTGTAATGTTGAAAAAATTATGTGTGTGCATGTTTGTGTGTGTGCGTGCGTGTATGTGCATGTTTGTGTGCGTTTGTGTGTGTGCGTGCGTGTTTGTGTGCGTTTGTGTGTGCATGTGCGTGTTTGTGTGCGTATGTGCGTGTTTGTGTGTGTAGGCAGGACAAGGCCTCAGTTTTCACGCAGTGTAATGAAAAGCAGGATGACATCTGTCGTCTGGAGGCGGAGCTACAGCAGGAGACGAGGAAGAGGAGCGAGATGAAGAGCGTCATTCAGAAAGGATGCATTATACTTCAGGAGGTTTTGATGGTGAGCACTTCTCAATATGTTCCAGACCCAGGTCCAGACCCAGGTCCAGACCCACCGCCTGATTGGCTGAGTGAGGGGGATCCTCTTTGTTTACTGTCGTCTGAAAAAACGAATGATGTGATTGAGGCAAAACATTTTATACATGCTTTTGAAACCTAGTGATGAAGCAAACTGTTTTGAGAGACGAACTAGCTAAGAAGGTCTTAGGTTTGAATCCTGGTCGGAACTGGGTCTATTCGATTGGAAATTGCATGTTCTCCTCATACCTGCGTAGGTTTCCTCAGGGTGCTCTAGTTTCCTCTACCACTAAAAACATGCAGCTCTGGTCCTGACCAAGCTTAGCATCAACATCCGCAGACTGGTTGATGCTGGGGTGCTGTTACTACGGCGACCACTGCTCCTGACAGACCTGTAGCTCACCATTCCCTTCCAGGTAGCTCGCCAAAGGATTTAGAAATGAAAAAATTAAATAATATACTTAATATTTCAGATTGTGTTATTCATTCTCATAATGTATTTTTGTAAATTCACTTTGTCACTAGTAACACATATAAGATGATAAATAATCACTGTTCCCAATATCAGGCTTGTTCACACCAATATATCACATTTTTTTCCCCTGGGCAGCTTAAAGGAGTAGTTTTCTGCCTTTATTGACCCGGGAAAGTAGCTCTCTGGGTAAAAAAGGTTGGAGACACCCGCTTTAGTGGCATCAGGATGGGTCAAATGCAGAGGATAATTACCCTAGCTACGTCACGTGGATAAATAAAGTGCATCTTTACCTTTAAATGGATTTGTGGTTTGAAAGTTAAGAACCCCAGCTTTAAATAAGGAAACAGATGTTTTATTTTTTATTTACTACAGTATATAAAGCAGATTATGGCTCAACACGTTTTGTCAGTACTTTATAATAAGGTTTTTTTTTGTCATTTTTTAGCCTAATCTTTACTCTCTCAAATCAAAATTGTGGATAATTCTGAAACAGCAGACATGGGACAAAGGGCTTGAACATAGGACCATCCTATGACACCTGGGGACCACACCACAAAGACAAGTCTAATCTAAATATAGAATTATCTGTAACCACCAGAATAGAAAATAACTTTTTTTGGTGCGTTTTCCTTGATTTGAGGATTTTTATTTCTGCAGGAAGTCTGCGTGGAAGAACCAGAAGTGCGTTTCCGTTGGAAGCCGCTGATGGAAGAGCTGCTACAGATCCTCAGAGCTGCTCTATAGTCTGACCAGTCACAGGTGATCCGGGTTTTATTACCTGGAATCCCATTGCTTTGCCGTGACAGCCCGATATGCTAACTTCTGCTAGCTTCTCTCCACAAGCAGTTATCAGTTTAGCCAAAGCACTGTAATGATCTTACTGAAACTGTTTTTGTAGATTTTGTTTCACAGAGACAATAGTTTCTTGTACTTTTTTTTAGTTTGTGTTATTGTATACATTTGTCTGGTGCACACTGGAGACTTTAGTACATGTATTCCAATGGGGTTTCACGGCATATGTCAAATAAAACTAATCCAAGTCTTAAATATAATACAAACCTGAGAAGCATTCTAGTTGAGATTCTTGCTCTTCACTCGAAAAGACAAAACAACTTCACTCCATGTAAATCAGAACCTATATTCTCCTGAATAAATGTAACGGTTCAAACTGAAGCCGTGAGAATTCTTTGGAGCACAAACACACGTCTGCCCTCAGTGTGTCTGTTTTATGGTCAATTAGCAACACAAAATTCACAATAGAGAACCATCCAACTGTCCCAGGAGATTAAAACATTTTATTTGTTTAATACCTGTGGTCATACTGTCTGTAAAATGCGTATCGAATAATGTATGACTGCAAAAGAAAACCAATTTAATAAATTGCAAAAAAAAGATTAAAAAAAAGGATTTAAAGAAGTCAAAATACAATCTGAGCAAGAAAAAAAAGCTTTGCCGCAGCATGTACTATTAACTCATTGTGTGCCATTGACGCATTAATACGTAATACAAATACAAATACAGGGCGGCACGGTGGCTGAGTGGATAGCACTCTCGCCTCTCAGCAGGAAGGTCCTGGGTTCGAATCCCGGTTGGACCAGGGCCTTTCTGAGTGGAGTTTGCATGTTCTCCCAGTGTCTGCGTAGGTTTCCTCCGGGTACTCCGGTTTCCCCTACCACTAAAAATATGTACAATAGGTCTGGCATGTGCCTCCTGTTCTGGCACCCCCACTCCCAAAAAAAATAACAATTGTAAACCGCTTTGAGACTCCGATGTGCAGTGAAAAGGCGGTATATAAATAAAGATTACAATTACAAATGCCTTTTTCGCTATTTTCACATTCCCAGATGTCTATTGTATCTAATATGTATGGGGATGACTCGAGACCATATTTTATCGAGCCAGCAGGTGGCAGCATTGCTCTCTGAATGGTTTAAAAACAGTTAGGTGCACATGTTGTGCCTCTTTTTTCTCAACTCTCTGGTGATTTCAGTAAAACTTCCCTCTACTCGACGGAGGATTACAGGGGAACGAAAAAAGCTATAAACAAAATTCTTTTTGCTGAGGAAAGTAGACAGTCCATTCTTTTAGAATCTGGTTAGAATCTGGTGTCGGATTTCAGATAGTCATAGTACACAATATTCTGTGGGTCTTTAAAAATCAGTAAAAACCATCAGAAACGGCTGGCAATATGGGAGTACCTGTTCTGAAATGGGCTGGCAGTCAATGAGTTAAAAGGTATGAGAGGATTTTCCCCAAATTTTAGGAAAATACCGCCCTCTCCACTTTTTGAAAACTCTGGTCTCATTTAACGAGCACGCATCACCAGAATGATTGACAAGTAGGAGCACCAATAGTCTCTTGATGATCCACCCGGACGTAGAAAATCCTCCTATATACGGTACCTTTAACTGTTCAAGCAGAAAGTAATGGACAAACAAACGGAAAATACAAAATGATCTAGCTTTGTTTAAATCACATGACAACATTGGATGAAGAACTTCTGGCAAATAAATGGGACTAAAAGATGCTTAGTGTATTAAAAAAAGGTAAGAAATTGCATGTTTTGTTTGGTTAAAAATGTTTATTGTTTTATGGCAAAGTGTCAGGCACTTCGGTTCCCATTTATAGCAGAGTAGTACTTTTATGAACACTAGACTTGTAACGTGCCATTACAGAGAAACGTTTAAAATGTGGGAAATAAAAGGAATTTATGTATGTACAATGACGTATACACAGATCTGCTTCCCAAACTCACCATAAATATACAACTTCATTGATTGTTTAGAAATATTTAAAAATACTGTGATTCTTCTCTTTAAATAGAATGGAAAGAATAAAAAGGATTTGTATAAAAGAGTTTGACCAGTCAAATCAGCAATATTCACCGCTCATTCACAGAAGCGGCAGACGACTTGTTGAGGTTAGCAATATATACACAACAGACACAGACCGCCCTGCGAGGCTCGCCGTTGGAAATAACTGAAAAAACAAATATTTGCCCAAAAAGTAACAAAAGCAACAACAAAAAAGGGGTGAGTGGCGTTTTGGTTTAAAAAGCTCGATGTTTTCCTGGATGGACATGAGACACCGGCAGGTTACATTCATATTCAGGGGCACTTTCGGCTCACAGAGGCAGCACACGCAAAGACCGAGCAAAAATAAGTTCGGAAATGCCTGAATTATGCATTTTATAATTACATTTAGCACATTTTATAATCTTAACATCAAGATTTGCCAGTGGAACAAGTAGAGAAGGTCTTAAAATGCAGCCAGGCTCGTAAATGCAGTCCAATCCATACAGCCTGGTCTAGGGAGGTCAAACTGGTTCTGGATCTGGTTCTGTAGGTTTTCATTCCGACCAAGCAGGAGCACAAGTGAGTCCAGTCTTGACCTGAAAACTTGAGGAAATGGGTGGAGTCTGCTGTGCTCCTGCTTGGTCAGAATAAAAACATGCAGCCGCTCTGACATTTGGAGCAGCGGTTTGACAGCCCAGGCCTACGCTCTCGTTGACTTTCTTCAGAGGATCAGAAAGACTTTATATAGACTGATAAACTTTGTGGCGCTGGTCGGATAACCCATTCTTACCATTTACTTTAACAACAGTGTTAAAAACGAAACAAACAATTGTATCTGGTCCAAAACTCCCCAAAACACAGATCAGAAGTTGACCTAAGTCGATTTTGGTCAAGTCTGTATTGTATGTTTGCGTCTATTTTTATGTTTTTTTAATGGACCTGTCTAAATTAATTAAAAAAGATGACACTTTTGAATGGGACTGAAGGGAGGAGTATTCGACAACTATATTCGCTTCACCCAACCACCACCAAAGTCAAAAAAAAGATGTATACTCTCTGAAAATGTGTCCAAAAAACACAAAAACCCCTAGATATGCCACAGTGTGCACATTTATGAGAACTATATAGACGAATCATTTCTCACAAAAAAAAAGGAAAACTACTCAATTAAGACTAGAGCTGCTTGTTCCATTGGCTTATTTCATTTCAATTCTCAAATTTGATGAAAAAAAACCCTCCATAATTCAGGCATTTCTTCATTATGGTTGGTCTTGTCTGCAGTGCGGGGGGAGGAAGGCACGGTGGGCCTTCACCAATAGCAGCAGAGAGTTTGTGGCAGGCTCTTCTAGTCAAACAGCCCCCGGCGGGTAGGGCTGGGGGACGTCTTCCTGCCCAGGCGAGGCGTTCCCTACAGACCAGAGGAAGAGTGTGAATAACGTACATATTTAAAGCTGGGATACAGAACTTGTTTGTGTTTCATAAATAATAATGTTAGTCCCAACAGAAAAGTTCTTATACAAATGAATAAATGTGGGTTCCTATTATAACATTTACTATTTAAAGCTTTAGGAGCTGATTGATTGGCTGAGTGAGGGTGCTACTCTTTCTTTCACTTTTCTGTCTGAAAAAGCTGCAATGGAAATACTTAAATACTGTTGCCACGGCGACAATGTACCAACAGAACAGCAGCCAGTTAATTTCATTTATGCTCTGCTCACAGCAGCAGTAGAACGCTCCATTGATTTTAATGTAATTTCAAAACGTTCTACCGATCATTTTTTCTTGATAACGGACCTCTCAAAACAATAATGACCGCTGCCCTTTGGCAACGCACTCTCTGCTTGTAATTCAGATGTGTAGATTACTCCGCAAGTAGTTCCGGCCAAAATTGCGAAAAACCCTGAAGTAGATTCCGGGACATTTTTGGACACATTTGCAGAGGATCGAATTATGGATTTAGGTTGAGGTTATGTTTGGGTCACTCACCGCTGATGTTCAGAATTCTTTGTTCAGTTTTCATGCAGTTCCAGAGAGTTTTAGCTAGTTTGGAAGTTGCTAGCCTAACTTACTCTAATAGCCACGGGAAAACCTTTGAGAACTATTTTATTTGCAGTCATTAAATAATATTTTCGGACATTCCTAAAAGAGGAATTTTGTGTGTTATGCTGGTACTGCTCTTCGGGGTCCGCTTCGCCCTGTCGGTACTTATTTTCCGATAACGACCTGCCCACTATACATTATCCCTTACTTATGCTTGACTCGTCAAAGTCACATTATCAATTCACCTTCACTCACTCACTAGTAGTTTAAACCATTCAAACACAATATATATATTCTACTTTATATATTTTGTAACGGTGGGTAGTTTTTTCCCCCGTTTTGCTGTGAACATTGTGACATTTGAGCCCTTGATGAAGTTGAAGGTCATGACATTTTAGTTCTAGTTAAGGTTGAACGAGCAACTTTCATTTCTCCAGGACTTTCATCGAACTAGAGATAAGTTTACGGTCTCCCCTTTAACCTGGAATGATGTCTGGTGTCTATGCACAAGCTCCTGCACTTTGTTAACAAGAGAAATGTTGTTCGATGCTAAACTGTGAAACGTGTAGAAATAGTGCAGACGTTGCCATGGTGACGTGGGCATACCGGAGACTGGGCTTTGGAGAAGTTGACGTGTGCGTAAAGCAGGACTGCGATGTCCTTGTGTCCAGCTTCCAGAGCGATGGACAGAGCGTTGCTTTCGTCCTGAAAACACAAGAAAAAGGCTTCAGAACCAGGAAGAGAGAGAGAGTGGGACTCCAGAAACAAAACATTTAAAAACACTGCTGAAAATAGAAAAGTGAAAACATTTGTTAGTTACATACATATTTATATGGTCTTTTTACTAAAGACTGTTAAACTCATGGGTTAAAAGTAATGTAAAGTAAAAGAAATGTAATGTAAAATGTAATTAAGAAATGAATAAGACCTTCTTAAAACAGTAGTAAAGTGTTGTCTCTACTCTGTTGACACTCAGAATAGAGTCATGTTTCCAGATTCACTCACGCTGTCGCTGAGCGTGGCGTCGCAGCCCGCCTGAGCCAGCAGCAGCTTCACGATCTCTACGTGTCCGTGTTCGCTCGCACACATCAGCGCCGTGGAGCCTTCGTCGTCCTGGACGTTCACCTCAGCGCCGTGACACAGGAGAGCGCGCACCATGTCCATGCGGCCATGACTGACGGCCAGCATCAGCGCGGTCTGCCCCGCCTGAGGACACGGAGAAACACCAAATGAGCAAGTAATTACACTTTCTGTTCTGTTTAATTAGTTGCACACGTTGCCAAACAAAACGTGCGCTGTACAATGAACTGTTTTTATGCATATTTTCTGTTTTGAAGTAAAAAAATGTCCTCTCATTGAGATGAATTCTGCTGAAACACTTTGTCTGCACTAAAGTATTTGACCACAAGGGGTCAGCAGAGTTCTAGCTCTGAACTCACAGTTCAACAGACTAAACTACTACTAGTTATTTCAATATTTTAAAGTTTCTTTCAACACATGATCCCTCTCCAGAACCTTCAGGTAACAAGATCTGAAATGTATTTTGCCAATATCTAAAGAGAACATTCCTCAAACCAGTGAAATGCCAAAGGGAATGTGTCAAGAGACCAACAGCCAAATCCTGGTGATTGCATCACCCCTCGTGAAGGTATCTATAGGAAGTGTACACAACCAGGCAAAATGTAGTTTTTTGTCTGTTGGTTTATCATTAGTTTCTCAAATACAATCTTTTTCTCACTAGTGGATGTGTGTAGATAAACGATGTATGAATTCTTATACTAAGAACACAAAAATAAACCTGCTGTCACTCTGCCCACGGACAACAGAGGAAAATTAGCTTTGTCCGCTCTGAACTATACATTTATTGTGCAATGTGCCTGTCAAATAAAATAAGGTTACATTTTTGCAGTGAACCAGAGCTTTAAAACCAAGTTTTGTAAGTATGTAATCTCCTAGTTGCTTGAAATACACCAAGGCACGTACCTGGCTGGCGCGCGCGTTGACGTCGCCTTTACTGAAAAGCTCCTCCACGATCATCATGTCTTTGGGCGTCTCCACGGCGGCCAGAGCAGCGAGCATGATGGGAGTGTATCCGGCCTTGTTCTGCTGGTCCACGTTGCACACGTCTGCAACGCACAAACTCTGGGTAAGGTTTCTGTACAAAACAGAGCTCTCAAAACAAAAAACAATATCTACAAATGCAGTTCATGAGCTACAAGCAATAGGCAGTACCAGTTCTCAAATAAAGTGTTACTGGAGTAGTTTTCAAAGAAAATAGGTGACAATTTGACTAGGTGACTTGTTCATTTGAATTAAATGGGAACCGCATGAAAACAAGTTAACGTCGAGTCCACTACAATGTTGGAAAATTGTTCATCCATTTCAGAGAAAGTAGGTTGGAGTCATAAGGAGTTAAACGAGTCCTTGAAAACTGAAAAACCAGAAACACTGTTTTATGAAATTTACAATTCATTGGCATTATGAATAAAAACAAAACAAAACAATAACACATTGTTTTAGAGCAGTTACATTGCAAGGGAAAAAAATTGCACCTCATAGAATTCAGGGCCGATAAAGAAACCTTTGAATTGACCAGCGAATATTTCATCATGACGTTTTTAATCAAAGCTACAGGTGGCTTTGCTGGTTCTCCATGTTTGAACCAGAACTTTAGAGGACACAGATCACTGGGAGAGAGGTGTCCGGTCGTGGGGAGGGCGGGGGTGGAGCCTGGAGGACGGGGAAAGTACAAAAGCTCCGGCAGGACGAGGGGAGGATCCTCTGTCTCGTTGTCAGACAAGTGCACAAAGACACAGTGAGGAGGACAAAGGGCTTTGAAGCGGCCAGCGTCCCGGACCTCATCGCCGCAGTCTATTGAGCCGAAGCTGAAGACCACAATCCACTTCAAGTCATCAAATATGTATCCTGCCATTTCAACATTTGGATGATGTCAGGTTTTCCATTATATCTCAGTTTTCCGGTCGTTTGTATATATCAGTTTTAGAACACTGTAGTGAAGCGGCTGAGAATGTACCAGTACCACTCCATTCAATATCACCCACTTCAAGCCTGAGTGCTCATTTATTCAATTCAATTCTATGTAATTTTGTATAGCCCTAAATCACAACATGAGGTTTTTAAAAAGTTATCGATTCAGACAACATCAGAGAATCAACCAGGAAATGACATGGTAACAAACACATCAAACTGTGCTATGTTTCGTCATGATAACACTATCTCTAGTCTGTTCAATATGGCATTCAAGAAGAAATATTGAATATTAATTTAGGGTATTCAAAATTATATTGAAACCATTTACTTTGAAATTTAACGTTTTGAAATGCTAAATATCTAGAGTCCAAAATATATTGTGAAAAGTAAAAAATGCTTTCTGCCTGTAACTCCCGATGCTACCACCAGAGGGAAATTCAAAAAGTACAGAATCACAAACTAATTTAAGAGCAATACTTTTGTTTTAAAAAGGCAGACAACTATGAGTGATGTCATAGTGGTACAATGACATCATACTATTACAGGACTGAGAAAGAAGGGGGTTCCTCTTATTAGTACTTTCAGAATCAGAATCCTTTTATTGCCATGTGAGTAACAAGAAGTCGCAAACTAGGAAATTGCTTTGGCTCTCGGTGCAAACAAGTCAAGTTTGTCAATATAGCATGGATGGTTAAAAAAAAAATAAAAAAATACTCTTGGTCTGTTTTTGACGTGGGAACAATTTTGTGACCTGGTTAAAACCGTAAAAAAAAAAAAAGAAAAAGTCTTGTCAGTTTTGCATAACACGTCGCCTTGGAAACTCGTACCTGCGTCCAGGAGCATCCTCACCACCAGGAAGTTGGAGTGGGAGACGCTGTAGTGCAGGGCAGTGTTGCCGTTGCCGTCGGCCATGTTGACCACGTGCTGCAGGACGGCGGCGGACACGCTCCTGAAGCCGCTCAGATAATCCTCCACCAGAGCCGGTGTCGCCGCCTTCTGACTGGACACGCGGAACCACTCGTGCTGGATGGTGTTCAGGCAGGTTCTCTGAGGGACACACGCATCAGCTCTGTGTGAGAACTCGTGATGGAAGGAATGCTTTTAGATTCATTTTACTTTTTTTTAAAACATATTTTTGAAATTACTGTCGCCTCCGAAGGAAGACTGAGAATGTTGGACCCATCTTAACCGGCCTTTTGCATGAAGCTGGATTAGTTTAAGGTTTGGGAGTGACTAGAAGTTACTTGTCCCGTTCATTTCCATTTATTTTTGTATAGCCCAAAATCATAGCAGTAGTTAAAATAGAGTTTTTTTACTTGTTCTTTGATGCTACAGTTAGAGATTTTGTTTTATTTAAATTAGTATAGCTATTTTACACTTATTTTGTGCCGTGTGCTCCTCATTCCTACTGTTCTATAACTTGTGACGCAACACTGAAATTTCCCCACTGTGGAACGAATAAAAGATCTTAGTCTTAAACTGTGACAGATCAGAGTCAAACCGTTCAAACACAGGAAGTGCAACGTTAAAGAAACAGAGCCATTGGTCCATAAGGGGCAGAAGACCAAAGTCCATAAGTGTCAATAGATGTCCACAAATGTCATTGAGTGTTGAATGTCCTGGATCATCACCGCTGTCCTTGGACCCTCCTGCTTTGGCAAGGAACAACCCAGTGGGAAAAAAGTGAAAAACCTCTGGATATTTATACGCCTTTGATGTATTTGTCCAAGACCCTTTTTTCAACTGGAGATTACAGGACGATAAAAATAGCTAGAAACAAACTTATGCTGCTGATGAAAGTAATCCAGTCTTCCATATGGTTTCATATTTCACATAGTCTTGGCACATAATATTCTATGGGTCTTGAGAATCAGTGAAATCATCAAAAACGGCTGGCAGTCAATGAGTTAAGGAGGGTCCACTCCCACGGTGCCACTCTTCTGGTTCAGTTCAGGTCCAAGTCACTTCAAGGTAACCAAGGTAACCAGGGTTTAGAGTTAGAAAACCCAACATGGACCAATCAAGTGGCAAACATTTAAAACATTTCAATAGATTGTATAGTTTAAAAAGGGTATCCTCAAAATAAAATACTCCTCAGGAGCGTCTCCGTACCAAGTCTTTAGCGTTCACAGCCTTGGGGTCGTTCAGGTGGGTCTTGAGAACGCCACACGCCGCGATCATCTTCTCACTCAGCTCATATCTGAAGTGAAACACACATTACACACATTTTAGCATCGTGTTCATACGGACGCTGCACTAATGTAGAGGTCTCGTTAAAGCTGGGGTCTCCAAGCGTTTGCGTTGTCCATAGAGTATGAAAAATGCTGAAAGTGATTGATAAAAGTCATTATCTAAATTAGAAAACCTTTGAACAAGAATAAGTAACACTAAAATATCTGTAATTTGTCTTAATCACGATTTGAGATTTTAAGCTGGACTACACAACTTTAAAATCATAAACCGTGTAATAAAACCAATCTAACTAGTTTTTCCCCATGCAGGTACTTTTTGGCCCCTTTTTAGAACAAGGTAGACCACCCTCCCTCAGCCAATCAGCTCTCAGCCCAAAGAGTCAAAAAGTATGGAGAAGAGAACATGTCTTCGAATAAGATTTTTTCACTACATTTTACTTTTGACTTTCTGTTGGGACTAAACATGTGTTATTTATAAAGACTAAAGTTAAGGATCCCAGCTTAAGCTCAAGTTAGATTTGCCAAAGTACCGTTCTCTGGTTTCCAAACTTGCGTCCGCGTCCTTCTCGTTCACTTTCTCGGCTCCTTCCGCCTCAGACTCCTCTTTGTCTTTCCCCTCCACGTTCTCGAACCCTTCAGAATCCCCAAACCCGCCTTCCTCCTCTTCCTCCGACGAGCTGCTGTCCTCTGAACTGGACTCGTCGCTCGAGGTCGTCTCATAGCTGCAAAAACGAGATGAATGGTTACTAATAATGGAACTTTCCGATCCATTACTTGTGACTAAGAAAAGCGTGCATGAGCTGCTCAAAAAGATAGAAAGATAACATTGGTGATACTCTTTATAAAATAGTCGCAAATGATTATTTAGTTTAAGGATGTTTTGGGCCAACCAGTCCTTGACGTCAATTCAATTCCATACATTTTGTATCGCCCTAAATCACAACAGTAGTTATATCTGGGGAATTTACAAAGCGGCCGATTCGCCAACAACAGGTCAGAGAATTGAACAGTTAAAACACAGGAAGTGCAAATATAAAAAACACAAGTCCTTGGTCCTTGAGGAGCAGATGTCCATAAATGTTATTGAATGTCCTGGATCACCTCCACTGTCCTCAGACCCTACACTTAAGACAGTCTACTTGTGGCGTCAGAAGTTCATGATCATTCTTCTGTAAATCTGACGTTAAGTTTGAGTTCCATAAAGGCGTCAGCTTACCCTCCGTTCACTCCCACAAACTGCAGGTTTTTCTTGGTGCCGTTCGACTCCGGTTGCCCGTCTTTCTTTTTCATGATGGACTTAAGAGTGCTCGGTCCTAGAGGCGAGAGAATGTCGATTATTAGTACAATTTTCCCATCATGCTTAAAAGGTATATCAGAGGATTTTCTACTTCCGGTGGGATCCTCATGACTATTTGTTCTCCTAATTGTCAATCATTCTGGTGATACATGCTCGTCAAATAAGACCAGAGAGTTTTGGTCAAAGAGTGGAGAGGGCTGTTCTTTCCAAAATTTGGGAAGATCCTCCTATATCTATATCCATCTATCAAACTTTCTGGAAGATTCAGGGGAATGTTGAAAATGAAACCTTTATGCAGATACTGTATATCAGATAATTCATACCACAGTGGGTAAACAGTTTTGTACTTTTCCCAGCCATTTTATTTCCTTCAAAACATTTTCCTGTTACTATTATTTTCCCATTTGCCTATTATTCTTCAAGTAGTGGTGTGTCCTATTGTATTCTTGCCCTGATCGCCCAAAGCTGGCGGAATAAACAGAAAAGATAGAAGCTGCTTTCTGCTAAACTGACGAGAAGCAGCGGCTGTTTGTCAACCCCAAAGTATCTCAGTCATTTTAAGTAAAGGCTTCGCAAACCGAACGCCTGGAGCCAGAGAACACAGCTCATGTGCCAAGACTTGCCCTGACAGAGACCGAGTCCAGCCCACAGAGGAGCACGAGGCCGAGGCGGGCGTGGAGAGAGAGCGAGCGTACATTTTTACCTGACATGAACACAGATGTTGGGACTGGATAAGGAAGCACTGAGCACGTGTCTATAGCACGAGCTTATAATAGTTAAAATTCATCATATCAGTGGGTAATCAAGCTTTCAGACTACAAAGAAATATGACTTTGCTATAAATATCAGCGAGGAATCGTCGAAGCTAGCAACTCACTGGTTCTATCACTATTTTTGGCCTCTCTCACAGCTTTAGATAAGTTAAGAAACGTGATAAAGAGGGCCATTCTCAGCCAATTTTTGTCTGAATTGGTCACAGCATTTTACTTTTACAAGACAAACAGGTATAATCATAATATTGATAATTAATACAGTTTGTACCCATGTTTGGTAAATTCAAAAGGAAAATATTGATTGAAAATAGACCAAATTAAAAGACCTTTTATGTCTGTTTATAGCATTTTGCCTCAAATCTTTTTCTAATTCGAGCAATTCCCTTTTCAACTTTTGACTAGTTACAATTAGAGTTTTTTTAGTTCATATTTTGGTCTAAGGAACCGCGGTGTGAGCATAGATTCATTTTTCAATCTCAGAGTCTCACACCTGACCATAAACACACTCCACGTCCGAGAACTCATGTCCAAGGTGGCAATGACATGCAACCTCTGAAACATGGTTGACTGAGGGCGGGTTCAGTCGGTCCCAACCAGAGTTCACTTTGACTGGACCAATTAAGTCATAAATTAACACTTCTATTCAAAAAAGACGTAGAATTGGTTTTTCGTGGAAACAGGATCAGTGTGCACTTGTTTGGTGGCTTCAAATCTCCACAAACGAGTGTAAATCGGTTTAATACATCTGTGTGGGAACAACACAATATTTGTTTATACATACGTCCATACAGGCTTTATATGCCAAGTACCCAGGAAACGCAATTAAGTATTTATTTTTATATTAATATCCACAAACTAAGCATGTTTTATTGAAGTGAACTAGAATTGGTCCACGAACTGGTTCACTTGGGGCCATAATATGCTTCAATTTTGCTTCAAGTGGTCCACTAGTCTCCAATGGACCACTTCATATCAATAACAGGGACTCTCCAAAATCTTAGAATTTCATCCAAACGACAGCCAATTTTAAGACTGTCCCAAAGCATAAAACCTGAACGTGACTCTTAGCTGCAAATTTGAATAAAGCAATGGTAAAATAAATATTTCCGTCAGCCTGGGACGAAATACCAAGATTTTTAGTTCGCCCCATCTGTAATTGGGACTGCTGCATTTGCTTCTGGAGGTGAACAGTCGGTAGATCAGGTAAATTTGGTCATCTTAATTAGTAGGAGCCCAATACGTAATCATTTTTAGAAGGATTCATTGTGGAAAGACGTTTTGTGTATTTTACCGAGTAGCGCTGAGGACATCTGTAAGTCCATGCGGCTCTTCTGCTCTGCGCTGATGGAGTGTTGAGAGTTTGGGTCGGCGCCTGCAGTCTGCTCCGCCCCCTTCAGCTGCTCACTGCCAACTACAACAGACAACATTTAATACACACAGAAAAAAAACAAATATTAATCATAATGCAGCTACTCTACCAGCCAGTGCATGATAACAGTTTTCAAGTTGGCTGCTGTTTTTGCTTTGCCTGGAATGAGAGTACGTTTGAGCCGATTTACAGGATATGGCCAGGGTTAGATTAGAGGCATTTTTACTGCCAAAACACCTTAGAGTTGCCAGGTTTTGTGCCATTCTGTTGAACTATTCAGGTAAATAATGATCAAAATATGTTCTCTGCATCTCAACTAGTCTAGAAATATACTTAAATGGCCAAGCATTTCTGATAAGGACGCATTCCAACATTCTTTGCAGCGTGCCAGATTCAAAACACACCAAAAGTGGAGAAAATTCCTACACAGCCATTAGCTTCTAGCATTTCTGTATGGCTAACACCGGGGGCGATGTTTTGGGGTCCTGGCTCTGCAGACCGGATGAGGGGCCAGACAATAGCTGTGTGAACCTATTTTATTCTTGACCCTTGGCATCCTGAAACTTGTCAAATAAATCTCAAAAGAACTTGAAAATTAAAGTCTGAATCGCTCTTAATCCAACAAGGTCCAAAAGATGTGCACAGTTTATTTGGTAAAGTTATGTAAGGTTATGTCATGCTTACATTGTGATTAAAACACTCACACACTCATAACAAAATAGTGTCCTCTTCACCAGCAATCTCCAACTTTTTTAGTTTCACAGACCAGTTATTAAAATATTTTCACTAACCAACGGCCAACAACCTCCCATCACCATTTTTCTTTTGTACAATGTGTGTATAGCATCATAATTCAACATCCTGCTGTACAATAGGCCTTTAACAGTAACTTTATCATGCAAACTATCAACTTTGTGCTCAATGCTGAGAGTTGCTAGGTTTAAGATTAAGAGTAAAAGTGAACAATAACTATACTAAAGTCAAATGAAGCATAATAAAACATTGCCTCATTATTCATCAATGGTAGATGGCATTGGAATCACCACTGACCATGGTACAAGTTCCCTTTAAACATATATGTTGTAGCATTGCATCTCGTGTTCCAAGTATATAACACAGAGAGTGCTGCAGACAATTGCCTTCATGTGTGCCCCAGCCTGAAACAAGAATGCAGCTTATGTAACCCTGCAGCGGTCATGAATCAGCATCTATTGTGGACTATGGAGGGAAAGTGGCTCTAAAAACAACTGCTTGATTGGAGTAATGTCACTGGCTTTCCAAAGAAATTAGCTCACTGCTGGTGCCAGGCCAAAGCCGCCACTGCATTTTTCAGGGACAAAGATAACTTTGACCTGTCTGATCTAATCAGATTATCTTCAGCATCTGCGTGAACAGACCCTCCGAAAGCAGGTCGTCATTAGCAACAGGCTTATGAGCAGGAGCAGAGGTCCAGGGACTACAGGACTGGGGGGAAATATGTGTTGAATATTTACTTTGCAAATAACTGCAGTGCAAGAAGTCATCTGGAGTCTCTCAGTTATGTCTGGCCAGTCATTACTGAATTATTCCATCTATTAACCACACAATGTTTGTTTACAATTCTCTGCTTTGCACTTTAAGTGGGACTGACAAGTAGAGTTTAATTGCAACAACAAATAACCAGTAGTTTTTCCTTCTCCCGATATTTCCAACAGTGCCTTTAGAACAATATCATTTTGTCTTGAACTTCAAATGCTAGATATTTTTGCATGCAATTCAAATTCATTTCATATAGACAGCCAAAAACATGTTGATCGTAGAATACATCACAACTTTCAGGGTGTCAAAACTGATACGTTTTTTGCAAATTAACTCTTCCATCCAATCATAATTTGTACATCAGTCAGTTCCCTATAAAAGCAATGCCACCAGCTGAGTAGACTTGATTGCCAATGTATCTTCAGCCTTTGAGCTCCATAATTAAATGTAATTATATGTACGTGTTTGGTATTCTAAAATGATATGTCGTTAACTGAGAACGATTGGATCATTTCCAGGACAAAGCGGTTTAGTTTCTGAGAAGGATGTCAACACCAGATCTATACAGGTTAGATCAGTTCAAAGTCCATTTAAATGTTGTTATTCTTGGTTGTTCCACACATAGTATTACATTTTGCATTTTATATTGTACTGAGGAACATCCTGAACAAAAAACACCTCCATAACAAGAAGACCTCATGAGAAAAGTCAACAATTTTTAATACAATTAATTTTCCACAAAATTCCTGACTTTTGCCAACAGCAAAGCAAATCAATGCATTAAAGTCTGAACTTTGGACTTTTCATCCCGAGGACCACATGATCTCTATGTGTCCCTGTTCCTGAAGCCAATCTATCAACATGACCCAACTAGAGATAAGGCAAACGATTAAGTATACATTTAATTAAACCTTTAGGCGTCAACTTTATTCAGAAATGTGATATGAAAGATCAAAGCAAGGGCTGCAACGATTATATTAGAGCGTGGATATGCATCAAGATTTTATGCTTTTGTGTTCAAGTGAAGCCACGATGCCTATGGATGTCTTTCTTGGTTTATTTGTACATGATTACAGCCCTGTTTGAGTCTTAGAATCACATCTCACAAAACGTACATTTGTTAGTCTGTAAATGGACCATTAACGGTTAATAGTTGAGCGATTTGTCAGAGAGTTGATTATTGAAATAATAAGTTGTTGTGATTAATTGATTATTCATTACAGTTTTAGACAAAACATTGAGCCCTAAATGTAGGGAAACACTTGTGGGAAGCCATGTCTCTGTATAGACAATATATAGGATTCAGAAGCTCTTTGAGAAATTCTGTTACTTTGACGCCTGAAGGGTTAAGATTTATAGAATTATGCAATCGACTTGGTCATACGCACTTTCATTCCAAACTGAAACAAGATTGAACAATAGCTTTCAGGTCTATCGCCAACAACAATGTTCTGGAGGCCGATCTAAGGCCTGGCCGCCTGTAAATCAGCAGATATGGGCCTCACTCACCTGACGGAAGGCACAAGGAGTCCGTCTGCAGCTTGAGAATGTCCTCGGCGCTTCCACACTTCATGACAGAGTTAATTGAAGAGAGCGTGCTGACCAGCTGGCTGTTTATCGAGTTGAACTGGCTCTCGGGTTGACCAAACGCCTCGGCCAGCTCGCTGTAGTTCTCTGCCAGGAGCATCTGCTGTTCCTGTAGCAGCTTTTGCACCCTCTCGATGTAGTGATCCAGCCCCGCGGCCTCCTGGGACTTATCTTGGGACTTATCCTGGGCCTTGACACTTGCGCATTCAAGATTCTCTTTTGTTGTGCTCGTAACAGGCTCTGGGCTTGTGGGCTGAGAAGGCCCGCATGCGATATTTCTCGTCTTCAAGCCAACTAAGTAGCTTTCAGAAATGTCAAGCGCTCCCACCCCACATTCTTTGGTTTTTGAAGAGCTCTGATTGACGGACTGCACATCTGTGACCGTTCCCACTGCCACAGAGCGAATTCTCGTAGGCGAAGGGGGATCTTTGACGAGTCCTTCACCAGCAGCTACAGTCCTAGTCTCAGTAGCTGCTGTGTTTGTGTGCTTGTCCTCTGTATTGAGCGCCATATCTGTGCACGAGTCAACCAAAACGATGGATTCCATGCTTGTAGAAATGCTTTTCCCTTGACTATCTGTGTTTGTTTGCCTTGTCGCGGACTCCGGAGAAGCCATCGTTCCAGAGTCCACCTTTGTAACAAGATCGGCTTCGGTTCCTTGCGAGATCAGAGTCTTTACGGGACTGACCACGACATCCACCGAACAGTCCCCACTCCCTACCGACCGGCAATCTTTGGTTGACGCGCTTTCGAAATCTTCAACTCCCATAGACGCTTCTGTATTCACGCCAATCTCGCAAACGTCTCTCTCCATGCCAACTTCCTGGTGACGCATCTCTACCGTTCGTCCCACGCATTGGTCATTGAGCTGCACCTTCTCTCGCACAACCCAGCGGTCCATGGAAACCTCCGGACCGACCCCCATAGACCGGAGGCAAGGCTGACATGAGACTCCTACGGTTTGAGAAGTGTGAGCGGTTTTCAAGCAGTCACCGACGCCCTGGCTTCGCACCTGGACCTTCGCCTCCACACACACGTTGTACATCTCTGGTTTCACCGTGAAACCTTTGTCGCACTTTTTCTTGCTTGACCCGCCGGCGGCTTGCAGTTCTAGCTTCAGCTTGCCCATCTCCATTTTGTGAGTGGTCTCTTTGAGTTGCACTTCCAAGCGATAGACCTTCTCCTTCAGCGCGTCGATGGATTGTTGCTGGAGTTCGATCTCTTTCTCTGCGTCACTCGTAAGGCCGAGCATAGTTTCAGTTACGCCCACAGCTGCGCTACACGTTTTCTTTGCATCTGTTGCTACGCCTACATCTCGTAAACTCTGCTCTGGGGACAGCTGTTTGGTCAGATTGTTCATGTTTTCGTCTGTAACTGTGCCAATAGATTTTTGGTGAGTTTGCCTTTGTACACGACTGTTCAACTGCGCATCTCTTTCGGTGTTTTCCCGAGTCGTCTGTTCCAGAGCTTGGACCTCGGCCGCCAAACGTCTAAACTCGTACAGCCTTTCCCCTTTCTGTTCAGGGGCTTCAGGCTCCTTAATGTGCAGTTCCATTTCCTTTTGAATCAAATTATTATTTTCCATTTGGTCAGCACTACCAACACTGAATGAACGCTTACGAAAACCACCAGGGTTTTTGGACTGAGCTGCCATTTGCCTCTTTTCCTCCTGGAGAACTGCTATTTTAACTTGCAGGATTGGAATGGTTTTCACCTGTTCCTCGAGCTCCTTTAGCCTCTTCAGAGCAATCACCATCTGCTCTCTGATTTGATGCAGCTGCAGGGGGCTGACATTGGTCACAGGGGTGGTCATGCCAGAGCTCAGGGGGCTATGACGGATGGAGCCTCCCAGAGAAGTTGGGAAGTAGAGGTTGTACTCTCCACCATTGGAAAGGTGACCATTGGCTGAGAGAGGCTGGTGGGTTGAAGGAGAGATCTGACTGGTGCCGATAGAGCCAGAGTACGAGGACAGAGAGCTGTTGGAGCCCAACCCTCCAAAGCTGGCCAGACGCCTGCGTGGAGGCTCACTGAGAGGCTGCATGAGCAGGCGCTCCTGCTCCAGGCGCCTCCTGGTCTCCATCAGAGTCTTCTCCACTTGAGGGTTGTGTCGAGGAGTGATGCGGGGGGATTGTGGGGGCAGCAGTGGTCTGTGCTCTGCACTGTAGGCCTGGTCACTGGAAAGACTCAGTGTGGGGGTGAGAGGAGCGGGGCACAGAGGCCTGGAGCTGAAAGACACTGGGGACTGTTTGTCGTCGCTGTTGGAGGAGGACAGCGAGTCTGTGGACGTCCATTCAGCCTGAGAACTGCCCCGGGGCAGAGCCAGCGCCCTGGGCGTCCTGGGCTTCCTCTGAATGCTCAGTTTCTTAATGGTGTTGCCCCGCTCAATATCATCAACATACTTTAGGAAATCCAGGTCTAACTGATAACCGTAAGGAGTTTCAACATAGTAGGGGGCCACCGAGTCCTCCTTCTCCTCTGTGCTCGGGCATCTTTGTCCTCTCTCTGAAAAACAAAACCAACATTCATCAGTGACGTGTTCAAAATAAACCACAATGCAATAGTCTGAAGTTAGATTTGTTTAGTTAAAAAATAAACCAAAACGTTTATTGAGCAAGTAAAGCCAAGAAAATATAGTTGAAATCTAGATTAGTTAGATGTGAATGTATTTCTATTGTGTCGTCTCCCTCTCTCTGTGTCTAATGTTTTACTTGTCTTTGTATCATGTGATTTCGCCCTTTCCGCTGCGCTAAAAGCCCATCGAGGGCAAAACATCAATTAGCTCTTAGTGTAATTCAAGGACCATCCTGCTTCTATCACACGGCTTTAACACAGTTTGTCCAATTCCAAATCCAAACAAGGCACAGGGATGAAGAGTGAGTGCAAAACAAGTTTACCAAATATGCAACACTTCAGTTCCACAAGGCCAGAAAAAAACAAAAACAAAAAAAAGTACCCCACGAGTCGTCCAGTTGGAATAAGACCTGGTCAAGGGTCAGTGCCACAGGAAGCAACAGTTTGTCAAAGACAGGGGTCGATTTTCAGACACAGATCAATGCGAGCGGTGAAAAGGCAAAGTCCAAACAGCCCGGTCTAAGTGTGACAAAGGGGCGCCTGCCTGGTCCACTGTTTTTACAGAGTGCCGGCTAAATGCAGCCGCTTGTTCTTGGTATGCCTGGAACTCCTGCGCTCTAAAACAAACACTGCCCTGAAATAAACACGCTCTTCCTCTGCCCGCGCTGTCGACCTGCCTGAAGACTGCAGCTGAAACTGCTTCACTCACCTCAAAACGGCTCCATTTTAAACTCCTTCACCTTTGCCTCTCAACAACAACAGGCTTTGGAACTCACAGCTGCCAATTCTCTCTGCTCCGCTGCTCCAAAAGTCTTTCTCAAGACACAAAAATTCCAGCTTTCGTGTCATGTAAGCTCAGCCGTTCTATCTTGCGCGTCATTGGACAGAGGGTTCACCAATCAGCTGACTGTGAGAGATTGGGCGCGTCCTTTTCCAAATGAGGCTTGTGTTTTCACTGGGAGGAGCGGTGAGAGCAGCACAAGAAACAGCCTGTTCTCAAGACAAATGACAGCAGCGCCAAAGTTGAGAGCAAGCCAAATGGAAGGCTTATTTTCCTTCTTAAAACAACAAAATTAACAGATTACAGGCTGGACCATGTCTGCAGTGGCACTAGTTTTGCTAATTATTTTTAGTGCTTTAAAGCTAGTGGATCGGCAATTGAACGTTCTCCCATAAATGCATTTTGTTAATCCAACAAAGTCTTGTAAAAGTAAAATGTGAACAAATCAGACAACATGCAGTCTTCATCTTATTAGAAAACATGTCATATTTTGCATGAATCTATCCAAGAGCCCCGCGGGTCAATATATGGTGCTTTGGCCTGAGAGCTGAGAGCATTCTTTTCTGTCTGAAAAAGCTTTTAGCCAATTGACATTTATTATTAACATTTATGGCCAGTGTTCATCCCTATGGACCAATGGCTCCAATGAGTTTATTATTGCATTTCCAGTGCTTGAACTGTTTGAGTCTCTGATCTGTGTTTTGGTGAATCAACAACTTTGTAAAGTCCTTTCAGTTGACTGTTGTGATTTAGGGCTGTACAAAAATAAAATGAAAATTTTGAATTTCTATAGATCAACTTAACAATTGAGTCAACCAAACCATTTTGAGAGAGAGAGGAACAAGTCACATGGATTTTATTACCGTCTAAGATTTTATTACATCGTTTGTGGTTTGAAAGTTAGGTAGCCCAGTTTTAAATGGCACTAGAAACATTCAATATACATGAATTGCCCTTCCTTCCTCAACAAGGGAGGAAGGAAGGGCAATGAACGACAAGGATTTCCTGCTTTGAGACTTGCATGTTATCAGTTTTTTCCCCCTATTTGAATCATAAAGGGTTAGAAACAATGGACAAATAACATAAAACAAATCAAGTAGTGCAAGTAATTGTGGTGGTGAAAATTGGGGAATATGCCTGGAAAGCAGCAGCACAAAGATGGCAGGGATAACAAGCTCTGGGCTAACAAAATGGAAAGACATTATATGGGTCTTTTTGGCACAGAATTCACTTAACTCTATTCTATCCAAGATTAACCATTACACAAAAGCCGTCAGTGTGTTTATGTTCCGTAGGAGAAAACAACAGCTGAGCGATGACCTCATCAACTTGAGACAACTGACACAGACACGCTGAATCTCATCTACAGCTGCTCCGATGGTTGGATCGTGGATTACAACACGATGACCGAACCACCGTGGACACTACTCTCGTGGTACCACTTCAGCACAATTAAAAGGAAAGACAGAAGGGGCCAAAATGTGTCAAGCGATGTGTTACGCAATCGCCCAATTAATGTGTAAAAATAGCCCCGAGAGCGTTTCTATTGCACACAGACTTTTCACAAATGCATTGAGAGACCGCAGCACCCAAATAGATGCCCACCGAGCTTGTCCATGTATGAGCTGTAACAGAGGTATTTGTTTTAAAAGCATCTCTGAGCTCAGTTGGAAGGCAAACTTTTATTTAGACAGGCTTTTAATTGTTATCATTGAGCCCACGTACCACTGTGGTTTTGACCCCTGCAGCTATTTTTATATGGTGTTCTAAAAGTAGCACTGTTTTTATATGTGTATAGCACTCTGGAGAGTCCTCTGCGATTGTGGAATAAGTGTGTGATAAATACAATAAAAATATAGGTCACACCGTTTAGTCCTCACTGATTAACAGCTGGGGCGACAGTGGCTCAGTTGGTAGAGCATTGGACTTTGAGCCTGAAGGTTGTGGGTTCGATCCCAATGAGACCATCTCCACTGACTTTCACTGATTTTGGCTGTCTTTGTGTCCTTGGGAAAGACACTTAACCCCACTTTGAAGTAAGAGGTGGTGCTTTGTGAATTGAGTGGCAGCTCTATCCGCTACACTCACGAAATGGACTAAGGGGTAGAAAGTGAAGTGGATGGATAATTAACAGCTAATTAAGTGCTAATTAGTGCATAATTCATGGTTAATTACCTCTTAATTAGCATTTATTAAGCACTTATTCGTACTACCGACACTTTCCCATAAAATTTAGGGCAAGGGCCAGTATTAGGGTACACAAATTGACACTTAATTAGCTGTTAATTAGTGAGAGCTAATCTAAAGAGTTAGCAAAATATATTATGATAGGTAGTATGTAGGAGTGTGCAAAAAAACCTTAGATATAGATCACTTTCAAAATTCAGACGCAATATTATAGATTTCCCAATGGTTCTCAGATCTTACCAAAAGTACATACACATTTTCTTATATATTTTAACAATGAATCTTGAATAAATTATGTATATTATATAATCCATTATTCACTAGTGTTATGCTGCTCATTCCTACAGTTCTGCGACCTGTGATGCAACACTGAAACTCCCCCACTGTGGGACGAATACAGGATCTCTTAATATAATGTGTACACAACATTGTACACATTGTCCTCGCTCAACTAAAAAACACGCCACGTTGTCATAACATTGCTGTGTGAATACGCCACAACAAGGGAGATATTCACTATTGTTTGTTTACAATAATCTAATGTGAAGCCGTTAGTTCATAATAGACACAAAAAGGCATTCTGCTGGAGAGAGCGGAGAACAGGCCTTCTCTTGGCTCTCTCACACTGGTCCTTTCTCTGAGCCTGGCATTTCCTGGCTGTAGTCGAGCACTTTCTACGGCTGTAACTTTCAATCAAACTGCAGCTGCTCAATGAAAAACAAAGATACATCCGCGAGGAGAAGAAAAAAAAGGTCAGGAAACGGGACCGAAAGAACCTAATCACAAGTCATCAAAACGCCGCTCCTGTTCAAATACAAGGTTTGACTTGAAGCGCTGGTGCCAAATTCCACAACTTCACTGAGAAAAATCCTGCTCAATAGTCCATTGTTGCTTAGAAAACTAGTTTCCTCTAAATGACAATATATCAATAAGTAAAAACATCTAAAAAGCCACTTTGCAAAGACTGAATTATAAACATGACCTGAAGAGGCCAACAATAACCAGCTGTGCAAAAAAAGTACAAAAAGTTGTACCAGGCAAAGTCAAGTACGACCCATTGACTGTATACAGATGGACAATGCTAACTAGCTAGCTCAGTGGAGTTCTATAGGGAAGTGGTCATGGAAAAAAAGTTTTGCTTCAACTCGCTCTGGCTCCTATTCACTCCTCTACCTCAGTATCCGTTTGTGTCACAGTCGCCACTTTGGGCTTATCAAATCTGTGGTTTAGCGCCCTCTATGATGACACGTTTATATTTTGATATAGTCTTTAGTCAATCCCTATATCTAGATTTACAATCAGACGCCTTCATTCGAGAGGGAAACTCCAGCTAGTCGTAGCAACCGTCCAAGCAACACGTCGGCCCATGTTACGGCATGAGGCTGACCCTGTCGGTGCGAATGCCCTTATAAGGAAATTGGCTACAGTTTTTCCTTTCACTCCATAACGGTGATAGATAGTTTCTGTATAGCACCTCCTGTATGGTGACCTATCGCACATGTTTTTAGTGGTCAGGGAACAGTCAATGTGGGTGGCTGTGAAGATGTGAAAAGAGATTCAGGTCTAATGACAGTGGTGAAGATCCAGAACACTCAACCACATCTATGTATATTTATAAACATTTATGGACATGCGTCATCTGCCCCTTATGGATCGGTTTGATTCTCTGATCCGTATTGGTAAATCAACAGTTTGTTGTGATTTAGGACTATTAAAAAATGTATTGAATAGAGCAGAGGACCGGTATAACATAAGGCAAAAGACGGGAGAGGATCAAAAACTAGAGTGGCCTTGCGGAAGATGCATTTTTTCCACTAGAGGCAAGACATCCGGGAAATAAAAGCCTAAATATCTGACCATTTCTGCGCAGAGACATTTTTTTCTCTTAATCAGAATCAGAATCATTTTTATTGCCACGTGAGTAACAAAGTTATCACTTGGAAATTGTCTTGGCAGAGAGCGTGCCACTTCGCCATTTGCGGCGCTGTGTGCAGCAAGAAACAGCAGAGAGCAATAACATTCAGGTAACAACAGACAGTTGGATAGAAAACATTGTGCTTTGTATAAACCACGGATTTTTTTCACGGGATGAGCACCTCCGGCCTGCCGGTCCAATGTGGCTGTCAGAGGGGGGCGGGGTCAGGGAGGGGGTGAGTCGGAAACACAGTAAGGAGGGGAGGGGAGGGAGAGATCAGAGGGAGGCGGGGGGAGCGGGATCCAAACTGGAAGACTGAAAGAGTGTGAAATTTTTGTAGAGACCAGATTTATTATGATGGCCTTGGCCCGAGGAATTAAAACATGAAATGTCAGAAAGTCACGCCCTATGTTCTTTGTTTTACTATCAGCGTTCTTACAGTTTTTTGTAATTGTGATTAACGTACACTATACATTTTCTTTATTTAAAACAAAAACAAACCGACCAAAGTGAGAGGGACCAGAGAGGGACCAGAGAGGGACCAGAGAGGGACCAGAGAGGGACCAGAGAGGGACCAGAGAGGGACCAGAGAGGGACCAGAGAGGGACCAGAGAGAGTTACCTGTGCCATTGTTGAGGTGCATGGTCTGAGCCATGGCTGCAGGTCTCTGGGTCTCACACAAGCAGCTGGACACATGCAACGACCATGCATCAAGTCCACATCATGCAACCTGCGGACTGGACACACAAACAGGAGCCTGGGGTTAGAACGATACTCAAAACACACTCATTTTAGTCACATTAAAAACACAGACGCAAGAGAAAATGAGTACAAAACAGTGAAATACATGCGGCTGACAAGTATCGTGTGTGTGTTTTTATTGGGAAGTGAGGGCTGGGTGGTTTTATTACAACTTGTTAAATTAAATTGTAACATCTGTCTGATAATGTAAGTCATGGTCATCTACTTTTTCTTTACAACCTGCTCAAGGACTACAGCTGTAAAAAAGCTCTCCGTTATAGCCTGGTTCAATGCATCTCGTTATGGCTAGTGTTTATTGTCCCCTGTAAAAAAAAAAAAAAAAATCAGATGCCCAAAAAATGAATATGCAAAAAGTTCAGTTGCTTTGGCACCAAACTAAAGTCCAGCTGTAGTAAAAGCACTGAGACAAAACCATAAGTAAAAACTTAATAATCATTGCAGTGATGTAGCTTTTGATTTGCTGCTCTATCTACTTTCCCACCCTCAGCTACGGTCATGAGTTTTGGGTAATGACCGAAACGACGAGATCACAGATGCAAGCTGTCAAAATGAGTTTTCTCCAGAGTGGCTAGAGGGGGCGAGGAGATCTGTCACACAGGAGGAGCTCGAAGTAGAGCCGCTTTTACTCTACTACTGTATAGACCTACTGTATCTCAGCTGGTCTGGGAACTCCAAGATTCAGTTATGGACATTTTTGAACATTTACAGACATTGGTCATCCCGCCATGCCCTTATGCGATTTTTATTATTGAATTTATAATCGTTTTATTCTATAATTTATTACACGATTTTGTAAAGTCCTCCGAGGCAACCCTAGATGATCTAAAAGGACATGTAGGGAAGTCTCTACTACCAATCCAGAAAAAGTATAGATAATGATTCAGCGATTGATGGGAATCAGATTCTCACACGTACAAACATCAATGGAAAAAATGTGAAATGTTTGGGATTGGGAGAGCCATACATTTGCATAAAACATGACGCAGAAGCAACACAGCACTTGGAAATCAGTCAAACGACATACGAAACCAGGCAAAAATAATAAAACCACTATGTCAATGCAACGTCACAACAGTGCTCCTTCGTTCAGACTGACCAAGCATCTCCCAAGTGTCCTGCTCCATGGGTTTTCAGTGCAAATGCCTAAAAGAAGCAACAAAACAGTAAGACAAACCTAACCCAAGTCGATCTACATTTTCTATCCTTTGCGTCTCTGGGGTCTTATAATTCTTTGTCCAAAATGTTACAAATGTAGTTTGTTTTCTTTGGCCGTTATGAACATTTCAATCTCAGGACACATGTTTTTCAAAGATATTATACAGAAGGATAAACGCATTAAGTGTGATTGAATTAAAATGCAACATGATGCCAGACCAAAAAGGGTTCAAGCTGAAATCAGATTTGTTACAAGACACGGCTGAACACTTCTCAAAAGATCTACAGCTAAACTTTCATAGAGGGCTAACCAGAATTCTCCAAAATAATAATTTCTCTTCATATTCTAACACATAGCATGGGACTGGATACAACCAACCAGCCCCATATATGAAAAAAGACCCGTTATGCAGAGATTTCTCGTCAAACTCACCCGTAATTCTCATTCTAACTACGTCCTCTTTGCAGGTAGCCGATCGGAGTGAACCTCGGAGCCGCGGACAAACTTGACAGCAGCCTTTTGCGAGAGATACTTTTCAGGGGCTAAGATTAGACATCCTCAGATGACAGCCAGCCGATCCGCGCACTATAACAGGCTCCGGAGCTGAATGAGGGGGAGGTGGGAGACCGGCCCCCCCACCCACTCCAGACAGGGCCTCCAGGTGACGGGACTGACCCACTAATGCACCAGCTCTGCCTCACGTCTGAGAGCAGCTAACAAGGCAGACACTGGAGCAACGGAAACTCCATGGCTTATGTATTAACCAGGCCACATTTAGCAGTCAGAACGCAGAAACTGTAAGAAACTCAACTTTCACGGTTCAATAAAGGTCAGTAAACACAAATATATTTTGACGATGCTTGAGGGTCTAAGGACAGTGATGATCCAGGACATTTATTAACATTTATGGACATTGGTCATCAAGCTCCCTTTGAACCAATGGCTTCTATGCATTTGTCATTATTGCATTTCCGGTGTACTGTCCAATTCTCTAATTTGTTGTGAATTGACAACTTTGTAAAGTCTTCAGAAACGACTGCTTTTGTGATCTAGGGATATACAAACATAAATTGTAGATAACTTTATAGTAAGTAAGTAAGCTTCCGACGAGTCACAACGACATGTTATTTGGGCTGTCCTCTCCACAGATGGAGGGGTCGCCAACGAGTTGTTGCAGGAGAATTTCAGATAAGGGATGCACCAATTCATTTTATACATTCATCCATCTATTTTCTTCCCCTTAATCCATTTCTGGGTCGGGGGGGTGGCAGTCAGAGCTGCACCCAGTACACAGAGCACCAGCCCCTCACTGATCCTCCTGCAGGTGGTGAGTCCACAGGAGCTGAGATCTTTCAGTGGGGGCTTTGGGCAAAGTAGGGTTAAGTGTCTTGCCCAAGGACACAACGACAGCAGTCATCAGTGGCGGAGTCCGGCCTGCGGGACAGCCGTGGCCTTCCTGACACTAAGTAGCCATTGAGATCATAAACACACGCTCCCAGTATCAATCAGCCAACTCCATCCCCACCAATACAGGCCATGCTTCAGCTGGTGAATCTCAGACCCTCTTGAATCCAGTCGGTGATTTGTTTTCATTCATTTGTGATTGTTGCATAAAATCACGTGTTTTTCACGGTGCTGTGTGCTCCTCATTCCTACTGTCTAAATGCAGATGCAACCCTGAAATTTCCCCACTGTGGAACGAATAAAGGATGTCTTAATCTTTAAAGTAGCTCGTGAGAAAGTTAGCATTCATCAGCCAACTTAAGCTCCAACACCTCATTTTGAAGCAGAACAGACAGACTTCAGTTATAATCCGGGTTTTCGACCCCTGGATATGTCTAGTGACCTTCTTAAGAATGTGTTTGACCCTGCCCCAAGCTACAGTGACTGAAAATAGCAATTCCCTTTTTTATTCATTCTGCAACAGACTACAGAACAAGTTTGTACAAGTAAAGGTTCAACTCAATTCCAATAACTTGTAAAGAGCTTAATTTGCAGACAAAGCGCCTCGTGCCGGGAATCCATAAAAACACAGACGCAATGATACCGGAAAACAATGAAAAGTATAAAAAAGGTTTAAAACAACATCATGCTCTGGATAATAAGCCACTAAATACAGTCTTATGACATCAGTTGAACGACGGACCCCACTCTCACACCCCTACAGTCGGTCTGGGGCCAGGACTCCCCTGAAAGAAATTCTGAAATCTCAGTGGGATTTTTCTTGTTTATATAATAGGTCGATAAATACATAAGCTTAAACGGCTTAACCACATCATTGAACCAACACCTGAAACCAACCACTTCCTGGATCGGCTCCAATATTCAATGTCAGTATTGGTGTATGAGAAGACGATATATATCCATCCATTCATCCATTTTCTACCCCTTAATTCATTTCTGGGTCGGGGGGTGGCAGTCAGAGATGCCACCCAAGTCACATAGCACCAGCCCAGAAGATATACTGTACTTTATCGATCTCACAATTCAGTTTGATGAATAGTCAGACACACATATCACATCATGGCAGCGAGCAGTTACTTTCGCACTCCTTATAGAGCCTCCATATTATCCATTTTAAAAGGAAAATAATGCACCGGTGTTATAAATTGCAATGTTTGTGTAAAATAATAGTTCAAACTGTCATATAGACCTATTGTACGCACTTGTTTACGTGTATATTTTTAGCTCGACAGGTCAATGGGCAAGGAATTTTTTTAAACAAACTGATGATTTCTTTCTAAAAACAAATTTGATTAATTGATTTAAATCCTCCTTCATTGTGCAAATAGTCGTTTTTTGTTCTCACCATTCCTGCTTTGATGCTAGCGCTAACAGCAGGGGGAGAGCAGACATGGAATACAAGCACAACCGTAAAGAGGAAAGGGGCACCTGTTACTGTACTTACGACCCCAACGCTCCAATGCCACGTCCGAACAGGTCAGAGTCAAACGGCTTTAAAGACTTGTAATTGCACCTTTGGCTGAAGACGAGCAAGAAAAAGACCAGGAGGCCCTCGCTTCGACACACACTTACTAATAACATGCATCACTTGTGTTCAATTTGGCCCATAAACCCGATAGAACATTGCCTGTGATATTTCATGTGTTTTTGTATCTTGTATTAGTTTTGTTTTTTTGCAATTTTGTATTGCTTCTCATATTTTGTATTTATTATTGTTTTTTCTTTTCCTTGTTTTTTCGAATGAGAATAGAAGTACAGAGTGTACAAAGTTTATTTTTTATGCATTATGAAATGACATGGCATTTGGATTGACAACAAAGTTCGAAATAAAAAGATTGATTGATTGATTGATTGATTATGAGATGAATCTTTGTACATATATAACAGGCATGCCTTTAAGATTAAAAATAAAAGAAACCAAAGTGACGGCTATTTCAATATTATACAATTATATTTAAAAGGCCTTAATTTCCAACTTCAGACACGCAAACCTTGTAAAGTGAAAGCAGAAAGTCTGTCAAACGCCTCCAGCTTAAAAACCAAAGCACCACTGCCCATCGGGACATCCCACAAGTTCAGTCTTCTCTCTTTTACTTTCACAAGAAAACTTTGTGCGTTTTATTGCACTGGAAATTTCACAAGCTCGCTGCTCGTTTCAGCAACAAAACTGAAAACATTATGTAACAAAACCTCCTGATCTTTCCCTTTTGCCTTTTTAAAGCTTTATTTTCCAATTCTTTCCATTGTTAGATCCGTGTTTTGCTGTGATCGAA